GGCAGGCTGGCTTCTTTACTGTAGCACCGCCCGATAACCGTCGAGATCGTCCCGACCGGGAGGAGGAGGAGGTGGAGGAGAAGGAGGAGGAGGATCAGAAAAGGAGGAGGAGGGGGAGGAGGGGGAGGGGGAGGAGGAGGAGGAGGAGGAGGAGGAGGAGGAGGAGGAGGAGGAGGAGGAGGAGGAGGAGGAGGAGGAGGAGGAGGAGGAGGAGGAGGAGATCGTCCCGACCCCCCCCCGGTCCTCCATCGTCACGAGCCACCTCTCGGCCCGCGCCGTCTGGCCCCCGCGCGCGCAGGCGTCGATGCACGTCGTGTAGCTCACCGCATCCGCCTCGCTCCGCGCCCCGCTCGACGCCCGAGGGCCGCAGGCGGCCCGGGAGCGAGCGGGCGGGCCGCTCCGAGGGCCCAGTGCCCATACGAACGGAGGGGGGGGGGGGGCGAGGGGAAGGGGGGGTTTAGGGAGGGAGGGGCGAGTCAGAGAGCAGGGCCAGGAAGGAGAACGGGGGGCAGAAGGGGGAGCTGGGGAGCGTGGGAGGGGGAAAGGGGGGGGGGGGGAAGGGAGGGACGGACACCGCGACGGCTCTTCTGCCCGGCTCGGCGGCAGGGGAAAATCGGATGGGGAGGAGGGTCGGGGAGGGGGGGAGGAAGGGGGAGGTGGAGGTGACAGCGTCTGCTCCCGGGCCCCCCGCTGGCCCCTGGGCGGCCGAAGGGCCGCTGGCCTCGATGCCCCTCTGCAGCATGAGGGCCAGCCACTTCTCGGCGCACAGCGGGTCCTTCGCGCGGGCCGCTGCGACGATGTGGGCGGAAGAGAGGAGGACGGAGGAGACGAGGGCGAGGGTAAGGAGAGGAGGGCAAAGCGACGCTCTCTCTGCGGCCCCACCGCGCGGCGAAGTCTGCGTTCAGGAGCAGCTGCTGACTGGAACGGGAGATGCAGTGTGGCAGGACGTGCTTTTGCCCAAGTCAGCAGAAACATGGACGCCTCGCAACCTGTCGGAAATGACGCAGCCGCCAAAGCCCGCCAGATCACCAGCAAACAGCAAAGGGCCAGGGCCGCCCTCGCCACTGAGTCCCCCTAGGTAGGGTAGGCCCTGGGAAAGGGGGGTCTAAACCTAGAAGCTGCTGCTGTTTGTGGTCGCCTTGGCATCAGCAAGCCGGCCGCTAATCCGAGAGAAACGGGAGCGGCGCGCTGAAGCCAAGCGCGCGGCGCGGCCGCACGTATGGGTCCTCGCGCCACCACTCCAGCGCTGCCGGGGCGGGCCTCCTACCGCCCAACGACCGTGCAGCAGCAGCGCAGCCTGGAGGGCCTGCAACGCAGGTGAGGCCGTGATTAGGTCCGCCAACCACCTGCAGCCTCCGCTCGAGGCAGCTCGGCGCCCGTGCCAACCCTGCGCCGCCGTCCTCGAACGGCCCACGTCCTCGCCGGCCGTGCCCAAACTGCACTTGTGCTTCAACTGTAAATCGGGGTCGAAGCCTATCCAGAAGCCGTGGCCCCCCGTGACCTGCCGAAGATCGCCGCCCGAGCTGCCAAACAGGCCCTCGTGCTCGGCGTCCACCTGGAGGCCGCACTTGCGCTCGTAGAGGGCCGCCAGAGCCTTCAGCTTGCCCGCAAGGCTCTCTCGCCGCCTGCCGCACCGCGCGCGGTGGGCAGCATCCCAACATCGCCATGCCTGTCTTCGAGGCCTCTGGGCTGCAACTCGTTACCGCCCGCGTTGCCGAAAGGGCGCTCGTCCTCCGCGGCGGCGTCGCAGCCGGACTGGGACACGCCCGCAGACGGGCCAGTCGGCCCAGGGCACCGCCGCAGTGCCTCCTGCCGTGGAGAGCGCGCCTCCATCTCGGCTGGCGTGCCGTGCCCCTCCGACCCCTGGCGCGATTACCTCCTCGAGGAGGAGGAGGAGGAGGAGGAGGAGGAGGAGGAGGAGGAGGAGGAGGAGGAGGAGGAGGAGGAGGAGGAGGAGGAGGAAGTGGAGGGGGCGCAGGACGGTTCCGTTTGCCCCAGGGCCGCCTGAAGCCCAGTGGCTGCGGGCCCACGGCCGCAGCCGCCCAGCGCGTCGCCTCGGCGTGGGCGTGCGGTGCGCTCTGCGGAGCCCGCGCGGCCTCCGCGCCGCCTGGCGCCCGGCTTCCGTCTGGCGCCAGGCCGCAGCCGCGCGCTCGGCGTGGGCAATGTGCTCGGCCAAGGCCGTGCGCTCAACCGCCATCCAGCCGCGAAAGGCCGTCTCGCGCTGGGTCTGGTCCGTGGGTTCGGCGGGGTGCCCAACGAGATCTCCTTTTCGAAAAAGCACCGCCCCCTCTCCGAGTAACCGTTCCACGAATTTTCGCTTGTGGCCAAGACCCTCGGATAAGTCCCAACCGATTCCAACATTTGAAAATCATCCGCCCTCGCTCCGTGCAGGCTGGGTTTTGAACGTTCAAGGCGTTGTCAGGCCCAGTGTTAAAACAGAGCCGTCCTACTTCCTTCTATTGGTGGAAGCTTGTGTAAAACAACAGAAACACGACTGCATGCGGCGCTGCGACGTTACTTCCATTTTTGAACACGACTTTTGCTCCATGCTTGTGCGTTTTGCGGCATTTTGAAATGACTGCGTGCGGTGCTTAGGCGAGAGCCCCAGTTCGAAAACAACCCCCGTCCATCCCTGAAGCAACTGTGCAATTGTAATCCGAATGTGCGCGGCGTTTATGTGGGAGCCCAATGTTGAAAACGGCCGACCATCTATCCCTGATGGTGTTGCGAGCTTGTAAGGCGAATGTGCATGGCAATGAAGCGAGGGCCCCTCATCGAAAACGACCCCTCCACCCTGAATCGACTGCAGAATTGTATTCCGAATGTGAACGGGGCTGAGGCGAGATCCCACTCTGAAAACGACCACTCTTGAAACTGTTGCGGGCTTGTAATGCGAATGTACACGGCGATGAGGCGAGAGCCCCACTCTCCGTCTCTTAAGCGGTTGCAGACTTTTACAACGAATGTGTGCGACCCTCAGGTCCAGAACTGCCTTCTGACATCGACCTACCTTCCATCCCGTCAGCTGTTGCAGCATTTCAAGGCGAACGCGCGCGCCGCTGGGGCGAGAGTTAAACTTTGAGCACGACTTGCCCTCCACCGTTGAAGCTGTTGCAACTGCCGAACTTCCAAATCACAAGTGGCGAGAAAGTCTCCGGCGAAACGCCCAGTTCGCCCTGCCGCCGCGTCTGGGGGCACGGTAGGGAGGAGCTGTCCATGCGGAAACCGGATGGGGGGGGGCTAGTTTAAATAAGGGAAGGGGTCTGAGGAGGAAGGGGGGGAGGATGAGGGGGGGCAGGACAAGGTGGGCGGCGCCGTCGCTGCTCCAGCCCAACCTCATAATGTCAACCTGGTGCTGTCGAAGCGGAAAGCCGCAGCAGCTGCTACGCCGGCCAGGCAAGCAACGCTGGCCATGTGACAGGGACCCGGAGGAGAAGGTTAAGGAGATATTTGAAGAGGAGGATGGGGAGGAGGAGGAGGAAAAGGCACGAAAAGGAAGGCAAGGAGGCACAACGTCACACATGATGTTTGTTCGACTTCGGAAACTCCGCGCCCCTCACGGCGGGGAATGAGAGTGCGCGGAAGCCCCCTTATATGATAACATCGCAAATGAGGAAGCACGGGAAGACGAGAAAAGGATAAGCGGAGAGAGTAGCTGTGCTCGAAACCGCAGGCCGCGAGGCAGACAAGCCGACTCATGGAAACCGCGGAGGCAGCGTCGCCCTCCGGGGATTGACTCGGGGCAACCCTGGAACAAAACCCGAAGTGCACCCAGCTAGCAAGGCAGCGGGATTCCGCAAGCCGTGAGGAAGAGTGCAGGAAGGGGAAGAACACGTAGAGAAGGTATGTGATCAAAAAACCGGATCTATGGCGCCATCGCTGTGCAGATCAGCCAACATACACAGAATAATATCATCTGAAAGCTTCCCAACTAGAGCTAGCCAGTAAATCAATAAGTGGCTCAGGAGGCGCGTCATGGTGACCCAGCGACTCGAGCACCTCCAGATACTCGAACACCTCGGCCTCAGCGGTGATCTCGTGGAACTTGGCGCGGCCAAGTGGCAGGCCGTCGATATCGCGGCCCTGGAGGTGGATAGAGGAGCAGCCCTGTCTGTTGCATGCCCTGCCGAACCTGCACGCCGGAGACGGACCAGGTGAGCGCGAGGGCGCTGACCCTGCCGCACCAGCGGCGTGACCGCCCGCTGTGTTGCCCGCTGTGTGCCGAACCGCCTCTACTACTCCGATGCGATCGGAAAGCGTGCTGACTTCTGCGCTCAGGCAGCTGGTCAACTCCTGGACCGTGGAGAGCTGCTGGAGCAAACTCTCATTAGTGCCAGGCATATCCTCTTCCAGCCGCTGTTCCCCGATTGAAATCATTACCGTAATCTTCAAGAGAGGCTCCCCGCAATAGGAAACAAAAATTTCAGCGGACTCGGAAGCGCCGTCTCCGTGATGGTCGGCAAAATGGCCTGGGCCATCTGGCCAAGCGTGCTGGCAAGCCCGCGCCCGAGCTCTGAAACAGCAGAAGAGACAGAGGTTGAAATCTTTGCGTCGATGGTGCCCGCCATTTCGTCCAACCGCTTCTGGGTGGAAGCAGCGGTCTCGTCCAACGCCACATCAGACACAGAGTCGCGCGAAGAACCATCCGACGAGGCTCCGTCGTCAACCCCATCACTGACACAGCGTTCCTCAGGAGCCTCGGCGCGATAACTGCCAGCGTCGCCCACCGGGGAGGACAACTGTTCGAGCTTGCCTTTGAGAAGCGCAATCGTGTCGTTCATGTCTTCTGTCAAATGTTGGTAACTGGCGAGCTGTCCGTCTTCAACACGCTGCGGTTCAGCGAGCAAGTCAGGGATCGACGTTGCGAGCATGGCGGACGGGGCGAACACTGGTGCCTCTGTTCGAAGAGCGTGCTCGAGCGGCCGTCGCCGAAGAGCCACAGCGAAGCGAGGCGCACAGACAGGACGACCATTCATAATGACATCCGCCTTCTCGGGGAACGCCTCACCGAGCTCCCGCTGCGACGTGTCTACACATTCATCAGCCCATGGGTCGGTGTAGTGTCGCCAAAGCTGACATACTGCAGCGAGGTCGCGCACCCTACGCTTCGTCGGTGACGAAAGGACCCGACGGTGCGAATGAACAGCATCATGCAGGCCCGAAAACATGCTGGCCCGACAGCGTCGAAGAGCCGCAGAGATTTGCCAGCCAGTGTAGACACCATTCCGGAAGCCATCGCGGGCGAAGACGAAACAAATGAAGAAATGACAGATGCAAAATGGAGGAAAACGCGAGAGAGCAAATTTGCTGGAGCCAAAACCAAAGAAAGACCGTCTTGCGCCACAATGGCTACGGAGAAGGAAGGCGCGGAGGAGGAGGAGAACAGTGTGAAGGAGGAGGGAGATGAGGGGGCATTCTGGCTTACAGCGAAGGGACCTGAGACCACGTAATGGCCGTCAATTGGGGCCGACGTCGTACTCCTTCTCCTCCCGCTCTCGCTGCTGCTACTCTTGAGGTTGCGCGAACTCAAGCCAGTGTACTATAGCGTTCGATGCTGCTGCTATTGCTCCTCCTCCTGCTCTTTCTCCTCTTCCCCACCGCATCGCACAGGAATCCTGATGTGTATTGGGCAGGCGGTACGCCTTGGCGGTGTGCTGGGCTGGCTGCGGATGCCGGGTGTGAGGCCCTCTGCCCCTCCCCCCTGGGGCTTCCTGCAAAGCGCCCGGCATGCCCAGTCTCCGCTTCGCTCGCCGAGCCTTCTGGCCCTGCAGGCCAGCCAGGCTAACAACGCCCAACACCTCCTTCGCTCATCTCCAGTACCGTCGGGGCGTTGACCTAAGGAACCCTAAATAAGGAACGAGGCCCCTTTTTCCCATCAGTGAAAGTTCGATGGCCCATCGAAAACCTAAGGAAAACCTCAGGCAAGCTGTGAAACAATTAAGGAACACCGAGCCCCTCCCCAACGAAAAGGGTTCGCTCTTCAAGGCCCCGACTGTAGGCCAACGGTGCTGCCAAAGTCCAGCTCTAATGTCGTGTTCGGACTTCCACAGCGCGACCCGCGATGGTTCTCGTTGGTAGATCTGATGGCGTCCGCCCCGCACGATCGCATCCTCATCCTACGCCACCGAACTTCATCACTCGCACCCCAGAGTGCGCGCCAAGTGCTGGACAACATTGTGGCACTCGAACCCAAGGCTACATCGGGCTCAACTACTCCACGCGGGGGTTGAACAACTGATCCGAAACAGATGTGGCGAGGAAGCGGAGGATGAAGTGGAGCAGGTTAGGGGGGAGGGTGAGGGCAAGCCGCAAATCGACCATCTGATCGCTCGGTGGCAATCTGGAAACCGTTCTGGTCCCTCCAGTGTGTCTCAAGACATCCGTCCCCGAGCAGATCTGGACTGAGTTCTGGCTCGACATGGAACATCTGAAGGCGCAAGCTCGAGGCGACTATAGAACCTCGTCGGGATCTGCATCTCGTTCCAAGGAAGACGCGGGCAAACGCTCGGTGCGCAGCGGGTCCTTTGCGCGTGCGCCCGTGGCGATGAGAGCGTTGTAGGTGAACAAGTCCGGCTGGATGCCCGCCTCGGACGCAGTCGCACTCGCGCCATTCTGTGACGACCCCCCCCCCCTCCCCGTGAGAACCCCCCTACCCCCCCGCGCCCCCCCGCACCCCGGAGATGCGGGCAGATGGCCAGGAGGGGGGGGTGCAAACCTCCGAGGTTGTGATTTCTCTTCGGCGCTGGCGTTTTCGCCAATTTCGACTTCCAAGGGCTCACTCTAGGCCGCAAGACCGCCCACAAACGGCTCAAAATGGGGAACAGGTCGGGACGACCCGCTTCCGTGAGAATCCCCTTCGCCCCTTCTCGACGAAGGCAAAAAAAAGGAACAGCAGGATCGGACAAATCGTGAGGCGGCGCGCCCTCCAAAATCCGGAGGACAGCCCGCGCGCCGCGGCCGATCCAGAGCATGCAGAAACGCCCTGGAACGACTTTTACCTTCTTCCTGGGCAGTCCCGACTCCTCCCCGAGATTCTGGGCGGATGACCAGATGCGGGTCTGACCGTACATGGACATTATATTCGAACCCTGTGGCCCAAGATGCCCCCCCGACCCCCCGAAATTAATATTGATGGCGTGGCGACGGGGGGGGCGTGAGTGGACAGAAATATTCGAACCCCAAAGCACCGCCTTTACTGAGATCAACATTGATGTCGGGGGCGCGGGGGTGATGTACAATCTCCCTCGAATGTGTGAGGGTTCGAATATATTGTCCATCTACTGGAGGATGGGCAGGAAGGGTCGGCCTGCGACGGGGGGGTCTGGAGGGCCCCCCCGCCTTCTGCATCTCCTCGAACCAGTGAGCCGCCGCCTCCACGTCGGCGTTGCGCGTGCAGGCCTTCGGGCAGCTGATTGGAGACACGACCCGTCCCCTCGTCGCTGTCTTTTCGTGGGCGTTTTTCTTAGACACTATCTCGTTCCAGCGACGTGCTTTTCCGCGCCTGCTCTCGGCACGCGGCTTTCCCGGCCAGCTAGCCTTGATCACAGTGTTGAAGGTCACGGAGTCAGGAGGGGTGCCGCACTCCTTCATCTGCTTCAGGCAGTCCGTGGCGCCTTCGATGTCGCCGTTGCGGGCGTACACGTTGATCAGCAGGTTGAAGCAGACCGTATTGGGCTGGACGCCGCGCTCGCGCATCTTCTTGAACCACAGGTGGGCGCGATGGCTGTCGCCGCAACGGTTGCAGGCACCCAACAACATGTTGTAACACACCACATCGGCCTCGACGCCCTCCTGGAGCATGCGCAGGAGCCACCTCTCCGTTGCCTCGATGTCGCCACTCTTGGCCAGCGAGTCCATGACCTGAAGGCTGGCGTCCGGGAAACTGAGTTTCTGGGCCTCGAAGGCCAGGTCTGCGTCGGCTTCAACATACAGCCCGCGTCAGGATTAAGACATATTCGAACGCGAGACAAGTTTAACATCCCTGGTTCTATTGTGCAGCAGGGCTCATGGCGGGGGAATGCCTGAGCTGACTTCCTTCAGAACCCTCTGAGACCTCGGTAAACCAGGGCTAATGCCAAATGCAAGCAGGGCACGGAATTTGAGCGTGCAGCAAAACAATGCAACGCAGTGCATCGCCAGGCACAGCGAACCTTGTCCGTCGACCCTATCGGCGTGTGCGAGAGGCTGTTGCGTTTGACTCGTCGTCGTCGTCGTCGATCGTCGTCGCTATCGCCGTCGCCGTCGCCGCTCCCCCCTTTTCACTGGGCCCTCTCCTTCAGCGCGCCAGCCAAAGTGAAACATCCTAAGCGAAATTGAGCAACCTCGTAGTTGAGTCGAAGCCCCTTCCCTTTGATCCCTTCCCCGCGGAAGGGGGGTGTCCCGGGGGGGGGCCCCCAGAGGCTCCCAGGGCCCGAGAGTTCCCCCAAAGGCTCCCACGAGGCCCCCAAGCGCTCCCAAGGGACCGCCAGAAAGGTGTCACATATCCGTCAGCGTACCCTGGGAACGTTGGGGTAATTTAGAATGTTTGTTAGCTGTCTGGAAGCGTTTCTGAATTTCCCCCCCACCCGTTGAGCCAATTGCCCCTCTATGTGTCGCTCCCTTCCGCTCTTCTCAGGTTTTGGGCAAAGCGTCCCCGAGCCAGCCCCAGACGGTTCCAGACTTACCAGAGGCCCCACAAAGAGTTCTCCAGCAAGTATAACAGGGCTAGGATCGGGATAAATCGCTCCAGAGCGTTCCGGAGCGCTCTCAGAGCGTTCCGGAACGCTCTGGAGCGGCCGCGGCGCCCAATACATCCTCCAAACCCGCCGATTCTCAGAGATTTCGAGGTATCCCGATCCGATTTTGTCCCGATCTTCGCGTCGTTTTAGCAAGGCCACGGAAGGCCAACCGTATTGAACCAAATTGGGTTTTTACCGTGCTCTTTTTTGTCGGGGGCTTCACACCCCCAACAAAAACACCAATGCAGCCAACGACGGTCCCAATACGGTGCGACAGCCTCTCAGAACGGCAGAGAGCCGCTTCGAGAGGGCTCCTCGACGGCCCCAACATTCCCCCATGCAGGCCCGATCCATAATCTCTTCGGAAAAACTCGGTAGAAACACCAGAGGGAGCGTGATCCACCGCCGCTTTACTGTGGAAAATTCCCCCCCCTCTTCCTCTGGAACCCCGACCTCCGAAAATCGTGGAGCGAGGGGGCTTGCCGAGACCACCCCAGAAGCCCTGCTGGGCCCAAGCGTTTTGAGCTTCGTGAATCATGTTTCCGGGGACCTTCCCGGGAGCATGTTGGGAACTCCCTGGCGTAGGGCTGCCGCCGCGGCGAGCTTGAGAGGACAGTTTTTCAGGGCAGTAGGTCGCACACGATATTGTCCAATTCAGTCCTGCATCGTGTTACGGGCTCGGTGCTGCCCAGGAGGCGGTGGCAACGCCACCTCCTGGATCACCTCAGGCATACAACTTTTGGCCAGAATGGGGGCTGCTCGAGGTGGAGGTGGTGGCGGCACAAACGAAACGTCGAACGAACGAACCGTCGAACGCGATCGAGATCGTCTTCTCGTTCGCCTCGCCGTCTCAATCAACACGCTACTCAGACTCAAACTACGTCTACCTATACCCTCCCACCTGAAACATACATTGCCCATACGGCCGTCAGAGGCCCACCGGCTGGCCAGAGGGCAGGACATCTTGATCGACACATGTTCCCCTTCCCAAGAGAATCCAGCAGTGGAGACGGAGATCTCGGAAGATTCGCTCTTCAACGAAAATCCCCCCCGCTTGCTCGAACCCCCCCCCACCCTCCCCTCCCCCTTCTCCCGGCAAAACCCCTCCCTCCTCCTAACCCCCCCCCTCCGGAAAACCGGGGGGAGGTCACTACCAATTCGACCCCCCCCCCAAAAAACCGGGGGGGGGCCACTACCGGTTCGAACCCCTCCCCCCTCCAGAAAACCAGGTGGGATCACGACCGGCTCGGGCCGGCCCCCCCCCCCACCCCCTCCACATTCGCCGCCGGCAAACGACTCCCGGGTCTCCACCACCGTCCTCACCACCGCCCCCACCACTGTCCCCACCACTGTCCCACTGTCCCTACCGTTCCCACCACTGTCCCCACTGTCCCCACCAGTACCCCCACCAGTGTCTCAATGTCCCCACTGTCCTCACCTCTGTCCCCGCCCACGGTCCCACTCTCCACTGAGCTGTCCCACGGTCCCCACCACTGTCCCACTGTCCCCGCTGTCCCCAATGCCCCCACTTCTGTCCCCAATGTGCCACTGTCCAACTGTCCCACCACCGTCCTCACCACCGCCCTCACCACTGTCCCCACCACCACCGTTCCCACCACTGTCCCACTGTCCCCGCCACTGTCCCACTGTCCCCACACCATTGTCCCTACCACCACCGTCCCCACCACTGTCCCACGGTCCGCACTGTCCCCACCACTGTCCCACTGTCCCACTCTTCCCACTACTGTCCCCACCAGTGCCCCCACCAGTGTCTCACTGTCCCCACTGTCCCCACCACTGTCCCCACCACTGTCCCACTGTCCCACTCTTCCCACTACTGTCCCCACTGTCCCCACCAGTGCCCCCACCAGTGTCTCACTGTCCCCACTGTCCCCACCACTGTCCCCACTCTGTCCCACTCTTCCCATTGTCACCACTGTCCCCACCACTGTCCCACGGTCCCCACTCCCCACCACTGTCCCCACCGCCTGCGGCGATGAATGGGGGGGGGGGTTCGAACTGGTAGTGACCACCCCCTTTTCATGATGGACCGGGGGGGGAGGGTGGGGGTTTGAACCGGTAGTGACCCCCCCCGGTTTTCGGCCAGCAGCGGCAGAACACGCTCTTTCAAACATCACGTCCAAGGTGACCAAGACCCCCCAGAGGCCCCAGCAGGGTCCCAAGAAGCTCCCACGAGGCTTCAGCAGCAGACTGAAAACTTGGGCCACGATTGGGGGCCCTGGGGCCTCAGCAGTGCGCAGGGCAAGCCAAGGAGTCCCAGTGGCTATTTCTTACGCGCGGCGCTAACCCCAGGCAGCCGAGAGGACATGGGGCCGAGCTTGGGGGCCTCGGGGCAGTCCTGTCCTGGGCGACGGGGGCGTTGCCGCGTCGACCGCGACCGCGCACTCCGAACGTAGACGCAAGACGAGGAGTCGGGGAGGTGGAAGTGGAGAGCGGGGTAACAGGGCGAGGACGAGCAGCAGCATCAGCAGGGAGGGGAGGATGAGGCGGAGAACGAGGGAGGGAGAGAGACCGTGGGGGGAGGAGGAGGAGGAGGAGGAGGAGGAGAGGAGGAGGAGGAGGAGGAGGAGGAGGAGGAGGGAGGAGGAGGGAGGAGGAGGAGGAGAGGAGGAGGAGAGGAGCAGCAGCAGCAGCAGCAGCAGCAGCAGCAGCAGCAGGAGCAGGAGGAGAGGAAGGAGGAGGAGGAGGAGGAGGAGGAGGAGGAGGAGGAGAGGATGAGGAGGAGGATGAGAGGAGGAGGAGGAGGAGGAGGAAGGAAGGGAGGAGGAAGAGGAGGAGGAGGAGGAGGAGGAGGAGGAGGAGGAGGAGGAGGAGGAGGAGGAGGAGGAGGAGGAGGAGGAGGAGGAGGAGGAGGAGGAGGGGGGAGAGGAGGGCGAGGAGAGAGGGATAGAAAGGAGGAAATAATGCCAAGACGTGGCCCTGGAAGCCTCTCGGCCTCCCCGGCCCTCTGGCCCCACGGGGGCGGCCGTCCATGGGGGGGAATCGAGGATCCTGGACCAAGCCTGGAGGCTCAAAACTGACCTCCAACAATGCGGTCCCAGATCACCGGGTCCCCGAGCAAAGACAACCACGACTGTGACCTGGGACTGCGCCGGCCCGACCAAGAAGAACTGATAGTGCAAGTTCTCGGAGCGGTGGCGGAGAATGAGGGGTGGGAACAACGGCGGGGGGAAGGCGACAGGGCCCTACGAGTCTGAACTCCTCCCCCTCGCCCATTCCAGCGGGAACGACAAACCTGTCTGGCGATGCGCGATCGTGGCGGCCAGCCTGGGCACGACGAACAACGACAACGACGCCGACGAAAAGGGTGACGACTGAAGGAGGGCTACAACGAGCTGGGGGCAGCTTGAGAAGCAGCAGCGGCAGCAGCAGCAGCAGCGCGAGAGGGCAGGAGGAGATGACGAGGAGTGGTTACCAGGAGAAGAAGAAACATGACTTCAAGAAGAGGAAGGAAGAAAGATCGGAAAACCGTAAAGGCAAGAACAATACGGCATGCGACACGTGCGCGCATAGTCAACCGCAAAACCGATATATGTTTATCGCACAACCATCCGCTCCCTGGGTCCCCATGCCCTCCCCCCTGCCCCACATCACCATCATGGGTGCCTAATTGTCGTTGTATGACAAGAAACCTCCCACATGCAACGCAAGAACCATGCAATGTCACGGCCACGCCCAACTACAACATCGTTGTGCTACTTCCCAAATGGCTCCGCCATGCACACCGAGCTTTTTCGTGAGAGCTCGGCAGAATCAGCCTGAACTCGCTTCGATGCTGCTCTGGCACGGTGGCGGGGTTTGCGGCAGGCAGCCAGATCAACAAACATTGTTCAATAGCGATGACGAGTGCGTACTCTCGAACCCGAACGCGCGCCCTGCGGTGTTCCTAAAATCTGCTGCGTGATCTTCTGCCACGGGGTGGCGTCAGCTGGGAGGGCAATCTCTCGTTCGCGTCTGGCTGTAATGCCAATTGGGCTTGGTGACAACTACTTTCTGGCTTCGAACCAGCAGAACATAGATTTCCTGGGTGGTTTGGCTCTCAGGGGACCGATGTGTAGGTGTTCACTGTAGGCTGCACTCCCTGCGCCACCATGCGGTCGATCCACCAATCCGCTCGCTTGCAGTCGCCAGCCTTGGCGCAGGCGTGGATGACCGCGTTGAAGCAGATCACGTTGGGGGAGACGCCGTCCTGGACAAAGGCAACATCCCCTCGTTCGCCCTCTGGGGTTTGTGATGAGGGGGCCAGCAGGTCGGTGAGGAGATAGCTGATCGGTGGGAGCAAATGGGGAAGGGGGGGAAACTGAATCGATGAAGCACTAAACTATGAAGGACTATACATTTGGAATGCACGATTGTCTGCATGCGCGTTCAAACATTACCCGTGAACCAGCCAACTCCCAAGGTCACCTTTTTGTGGGTCCCCTCCCCTCCCAGGGGGGAGGGGGGAATCAATGACAAGGGAGGGCTAGCTAGTCTGAAACTGAATATTCAGAGTGGTTCCCTGATAATTTTTGCTGTGTTAGTGTGGGGCGCCATGGAGAGGGGTGCGCTCTGGAGTGAACCGTTTCAAGGCTATTATGCATAGAGCTGGATTCTGAACTTCGCTCTTTATTGGGTTTCCTGTGCGGGGATAGCTTTGGAGTTAGCCCTTGTGGGGAGAGAAGAGGGAGACATGTAGAGGGAACAATGGAGGGATGAGTAGGGAGGGTGACTACATATCGAGCAGGGGGGAAAAGAGAGAGAGAGAGAGAGAGAGGAAGGGGAGACGAATAGGGATTACATATACTGGGTGACAGAGGACAGAGGTTTGATGAATTAACTCCGTCCAGATTTTGCCTTTGTAGAACTTCCTGGTCGTGTACCAGGACACACGGGCAAACAAGGCATGGCTGCAGACATCGAATGCTTTCGGCTCTGCCTCGCCAGCCAGCAGTCCGCTTCCATGACAGCTCTGCTGGTACTGATGCTACGTGGAAACATCAAGGGGAAGAGTAGAACGCATATGTTCGAGGAGGGAGGGGTCTGGGAGGAGTACTTGACGAGGGGGAAAGAGAGACGAGGGAGGCAAGGCGAGACTTCTCAGTACGAACTCTGTTCAGGGTTCTCCTGTGCGATTGGGGTGTCAAGGCAAAGAGTACTTAGGTTCGACGTGCTCATGCTTTCCCCAAGGGTCCCAACATGATATCTTAGCCTGGCCAAAGAGAACCAAGGTCTTGATTCATTTATTGAAACTCATTGTCCGCCACCGTGCCCTGAGGCACGTTCTCAGGTCCCTTCGGTACTAACAGCCCTGAGCTCCCCCGAACCCAAATCTGCCAATGCGTGGCGCGTGACTTGTGGGGTTTCCGCGCTTGTCCTGGCAGAGACGGGTGGAATTCCGTGCCCTCCGCTGTCTGACCGACTGAACTGGACCGAATTGAACTGCACTGGACTGCGCTGAACTGAAACTGGACTCGAAGAACACTTTCGACAACACATTTCGAACCGCCTCGGTGCACCCGCAATCCGCGACCAACCGACACATTTCAACCCGCCCGCTGGCGGGTTAACATGTGTCGCCTGGTTGAGGTTGCGGTTGCGCCCGTGGGCGGCTTAACACGTGTCGCCTGGTTGCCATTGTGATTGCGGTTGCGCCCGCGAGCGGGTTGAAATGTGTCACCTGGTTGCGGTTGCGGTTGCGCCCGCGGGCGGGTTGAAATGTGTCGCCTGGTTGCGGTTGCGGTTGCGCCCGCGGGCGGGTTGAAATGTGTCGCCTGGTTGCGCCCGCGGTTGCGCCCGCGGGCGGGTTGAAATGTGTCGCCTGGTTGCGGTTGCGGTTGCGCCCGCGAGCGGGTTGAAATGTGTCGCCTGTTTGCGGTTGCGGTTTGCGGTTGCAGTTGCGCCCGCGGGCGGGTTGAATTGTGTTGCCTGGTTGCGGTTGCGCCCGCGGGTGGATTGACACGTGTCGCCTTGTTGCGGTTGCGATTGCGCCCGCGGGGGAGTTGAAATGTGTCGCCTGGTTGCAGGGTCGGTTGCGCCCGCGGGCGAGTTGAATTGTGTCGCTTAGTTGCGGTTGCGGTTGCGGTTGCGCCCGCGGGCGGATTAGCATGTGTCACCTGGTTGCTGTTGCGGTTGCGACCGCGGGCGGGTTGAAATGTGTCGCCTGGCTGCGGTTGCGGTTGCGCCCGCGGGCGGGTTGAAATGTGTGGCCTGGTTACGGTTGCAGTTGCGCCAGCGGGCGGGTTGAAATGTGTCGCCTGGTTACAGTTGCGGGTCCGCCCGCGGGCGTCTTGAAATGTGTTGTCAAACGTGCCCCTCCATTTCAATCAGTTCAGTGCAATGCAATTCAGTTCAATGGATCAGTCAGCGGATGGCGCGAAATTTTGTTCGGCTCCGCTGGGAGAAGCTATGAGGAACAGGAAGAAGAGTATCGAAGACGCAATCAGCGAGGCATCGCCACCTCCCTGTGGCCACATGTTGTGGGAACGCAACGCACGCGTGGGCGATAACAACATGCAACTTACTCGTCTGTGGTTGAATTATTAGGGGCCGCTTGGTGCGTCTTGAGGTGGCTCTCTTGTGCCTTCTTGGGGGCCTCCTCTTGGGGCTCTCTTGGGCTGTCTTGGGCGTCTGGAGCCCCTCGAGGGCGCCTTCGGGACCTCTTGGGGTCCTCCTGGAGCCCTCTTGGCGTGAGCCGCCCTGGGGTCCTCGTGGGCCTCTGTGGACCACTCTTGGGCAATCTTGGGGCCAACTGGAGACCTTCGCGGGACCATTTCGGGCCATGACGAGCGACCATGTCACACTTTCTGTGAAGCCACACGCAAATCAGTGATGTTGGCCTCTCAAGGGCCTCGTGGGGGCTCCCTTGGATCGCTCATGGAGCTTCTTGGACGCCTCCGGGCCTGTGGGCTTCGAAATCCACTCGCACCGCCTTCCGGGCGTCCAGGGCCATCTGGGGAAGATCGTGGACCGCCAGGGGCGCGATCTGTGGTCGGGGTCCTGGCCGGAGTACTCCAGTCCCCCACACTGCGTTCGGGGCACCAGCGGCTCCCAGCCCTGGTCCACCGTTTTTGGGGGACTCCTGATGTCGTTCTGGGCTCGCCTGGGGGGCCTCCTGGGCCGTCTTGGGGGCCCTCTTCGGCCAGCTGGGGCCGCTCGTGGCCCCTCAGGAGCCTCCTGGGCCCAAACATGGAGCTGTGTGGGGTTCGTCGTGGGGCGCCTCTGGGCACTCGTGGTGACCTCAGGGGGCCGTCTTCGGGAGTCTTTGGGCCCGCTGGGGCAATCTGGGGGCCCTCTTAGAGGGCCCTTCCGGGGCCGTTGTAGGCCGCACTGGGGCGGCCTCGGCCTCTGGGGCTTCGTGGCCGTCGCGGGGGCTCTGACGAGTGGCAGGGCGAGCAAGCGAAGCACAGACAGACAACCGAGGAGCACAACTATCTCTCTAGGCACAGATCGGCATATGTGTACACCTCGAATATTTGCATGCGTGTGCAATGGTGTATGCACTTGTATATATACCCATCCATTCACATGTATGTGTATACGTATGTGCATGTGCATATGTACATGTATATGCATATAGAAATATATATATTTATATATATATATATATATATATGCATATATATGTATGTATGTATGTATGTATGTATGTATGTATGTATGCATGTATGTATGTATGTATGCATGCATGCATGCATGCATGCATGCATGTATGTATGTATGTATATGTATGTATGTATGTATGTATGTATGTATGTATGTATGTATGTATGTATGTATGTATGTATATAAATGTACGTGTATGTGTATATGTAGGTGTGTATGCATGTCTCTCTCTCTCTCTTTTTCTCTCTCTCTCTCTGTGTCGGCATGCAACTGTATACATATACATATACTTGTACAGATACACGCACCTATATATATATATATATATATATATATATATATATATATATACATATATCCTGGAGTCTCTACGGAATACTTTTGGGGAGCCCTTTGGCCGTTTTGGGCCCATCGGGGACTCTGCGGATATCTTGGGGAGCACTGGGACAATCTTGGAGGCCCTCTTGAGGCACCCGAAGGGACAAGTACGCCGTCTTGGCGAGTGGGGGAACCTCCTGGAAGGCTGCTTGATGCGAGCTTTGGCCGTCTTGCGGCTCTCATGGGGTCCTCGTCGGCCGTCTGGGGCCGATCTTGGGGTTCGCCTGGAGCTGCCTGGAACACTCGGAAGTCAGAAACGTCAATCATGCGAAAACAACACAACACATTGGGAAGGTGTTGCATTCTGGGGGCCTCCCGGAAATGCTCTTAAGGCACTCTTGGGCCGTCTCGGGCGGCCCTGGTCCGCGTTGGGTCCATCTCGCGGCCATGCGGACATCTTGTCGAAGACTCGGGCTGTCTTGGAGGCTCTCCTGGGACAGCATTTGAAGGGGCAACTTGGCCGTCCCGGAGGCTGGGAGAGGCTCCGACCCAAGTGGGGCTCGCTGTGGCCATCTTGGGCCTCGCGTGAGGCAATTTTAGGGTCCTAGTGGGCCGCCTTGGAGCGGTCTCGGGTGCTTCCTGGGCTGTCGTGGACGCTCCAGATACCGAAGAGGCGAGTTTGCGAAAACAACAAAAAACCACCGGGCGAACGTCAATCCTATTTGTCTGCTGGGGGCCTCTTTGCAGTGCTCGTGGGGCACCCTTGGACTATCTTGAAAGGTACTTGGGCTCTGTTGGGCCGATCTGGGGGCCTCGCGGGAATCTTGGATCTTGGGGAACACTGTTGTTGTCGTGGAGGCTCTCTCGGGATATCTGAAGGGGCACTTGGCCTGTCTTGGTTCGGGGCTTCGTAAACGGGGGTTTAACTAAACGGTGGCTTGGCTTCCATATACCCCCGTTTACTGTACCCCCGTTTACGGCGCCCAGGGCCCCCTAAACGGGGGCACAGCCAAACGTGGAAATCGGCGTTCCCCGTACCCCCGTCTCTGGCGCCCTGATTGGTGGAAGGGGGAGCCCCATCGGAACCACGGGGGGTGCTGGTGAGAAGGACAATCCATTTGCAAAGGGTGGCTGCTGCCCGGCCTCCCCAGTCCAGGTTCTCCGTGTTGTATGCGCATGTGCGTATATATATATATATACATATATGTATGTATGGCTGTCTGTCTGTCTGTCTGTCTGTCTGTCTGTCTGTATGTATGTATGTATGTATGCATGTATGCATGCATGCATGCAGGCAGGTATGTACGTACGTATATGTTTATGTCTGTAGGTATGTATGCACATTCAAATGCATATGCAAATGCATGTATACATGTACACACACGCATACATGTATCGTCACTTGTGTATATATGTATATGATCGCGTGCATTCCTATTCATATACTTTTATAAGGCTGGGGACCCCGGAGAAAAGCCCCCCTCCCCCCCTAACGAATTTGGCCCACCCCAAGCCTCTCGGGCAACCCTTCAGACGACCCGGGAGAACCCCACGAGAGCCCGAAGACGGCTCCAGATGGCTCCAGGCGTTCCGGCGCGCTCCCGAAACGACCCCCGAGAGCCCCAAGACGGTCCACGACGACCCCAATGAAGCAGTCATACACCCAAGGATCGCACCAAAACGTCCCAAGAGGCCTACAAGAACACTCCCAAGAGACCCCAAGAGACAAAATTCATTGATTTCCCGTTGGTTTTTGGTAAATTTGGGGGTTCTCCTCTTTTCGGCTTCCCGACGCTCCAAGACGGCGGTCTTCTGGGCGTCCGAAGCTGCCTGGGTGGCTCGGAAATCGCTCCACAACTATCCGAAAGGGCTCCCAGGCAGTCCAAGAGAGCCCCAAGGCGGCACAACCGGGTTCCAAAATGGCCTAAGAGAGCCCAATGACTGCCAAAAATGGCCTCAAGACGCCCTCCGAAGCTTTCCAAATCGTGACCCGGTCGTTCAGGGAGACCGCGATTGGAGGCATGGTGACCCGAGGAAGCCCCCAGAGGCCCCCAGAAGACGCCCAGGAGGCCTCCAGAAGGCCTTAAGAAAACTTGAACAACTTGTGTGAGTCCCCCAGAAGCTCTCCAAGGAGGAGCCTCCGCAAAAAGGGCTGAGGAGGGTGGGGAGAATACGCAGGGTACGGCGAGAATAAGGAAAAATAAACATGGAGGAGGGATGACGAATCACATTATTATAACGGCGATGCCGAAAAAGGCAGCAAGAAGTTATCGCTAAATTGTCGGCTTGGCCCTCCTGCCATTCCGCCTGCATGCCCAACTTTAAGGACCAAGGCGCATGGCACGAAGCTTCACTCCAGTCTTGCATGCATACGTGAATATATCCGCCACCGTGCCTCGAGGCACGACGTGGAGCTGTCTCCTGGCTCTCATGGGTTCTCTGTTCTCTGCACTCAGAACTCTGGGGCTATCGTGTTCTAAGGGCTGGGGCCCTCGAGTCCCAAAACTCCTGGGCGTCCCCGCGCGCTCTCGCGCTCTCACGGGCTCGGCCGCAAGGCTTTTCGAGAGGCCACAGGGCCCCCGAGCCAGGCCGGGAGGGCCCCAAGACACGTCCGGGAGGCCCCCACAAACGCTCCAAGACGCCCACCATGGCCCCAGGACAGCCCAAGAGGCCTCAAATGAGCTCCAAGAGCGCTCCGAGGGGACCCCTAAGAGGGCCCAAAGAGGCAACAATCATTGATTGCCCGGGTGCTTTTCAATGTTTTTCGCGTTCTCGCGTTCTCGGGCTTCCGACGCTCCAAGATGGTCCCAGCGACTCCCAAGACCGCCCCAAGACGGCCCGAGAGGCCCCCCAGAGGGCCCCGAGACGGTCCAAAAGGACCCCAAAACGGCCCAAGAGGCGCCCACGATCGCCCAAGAGGGCCCCAAGACGGCGGCCCCTAGAGGGGCCCAAGAGGGGGAACACGGATCGACAATTCGAGCCTTCCGCCCCAAGAGGCCCGCAGGAGGCCCCAAGAGGCTCCCAAGAGAGCCCAAGAGACCCGTAGAGGCTCCACGAAGTCCCCCAAAGGCCCAAAAGAGACCCCCAAAGGCCCCCAAACGGCCTCCAAGAGGCTTCAAAACTGCCTCCAAGAGGCCCCCGAGAGGTCTCCCGCGATACCCAAACGAACATCCAAAAGGCTTGTAACCCACAGTCAACGCACGGTGGCGGGATGTGCCGAAGGGCAATATTGGGCCTCTCTTGGGGACCATTTGGGGCTCCGAGGCTATCCTGGAGTACACGTCGCTAACAAGTGAGAGCTCCAGAAGCTGGTGACATCAATGTGGAATTCCCTCGATTTTGACTGACTTGGCCTCTCGCAAATGCTCTGTGGGCACCCTGACGGCCTCTTGGGGCCGTTTGGGGGCCCCTTTGCAACGCTGGGAGCCTCCTGGGGGAGCCCAAAGGGCCTCTCGGGACCGTCTTGGGGCCCTCCGTCTGCCGTCGCCGGCCGTCTTTTTGAGCACTCGCGGGGCAGTCGTGGGCCGTCTTGGGGCAATGCTGGGGCTCTCTTGGGGACCTTTTGGGGCTCCGAGGCCATCGTGGAGCTAGATTTCGCCAACACGCGAGACCTCCAACAAAACATGGAAGATCTCGTGAATCCCGCAAGTTTCTGACCGATTTGGCACCTTGAGGGTCCTCTGTGGGCACGCCAGCCGATTCTTGGGGCCATCTTTGGGCTCCTTTGTAACGCTGGGAGCCTCCTGGGGGAACCCTGAAGCCTATTGGGACCGTCCTGTCTTGGGGCCTTCTGGCGTTTCAGCAAAGCTCTGGGGGCCTCCTGAGGGAACCCGGGAGAGGCTCCAAAGAGACTGCGACCCAGGGCACTCCTGGCCCGGGTTGCTGTACCTGGGAGACGCGCGCGCGCGCGCGCGCGCGCGCGTGTGTGTGTGTGTGTGTGTGTGTGTGTGTGTGTGTGTGTTTGTGCGTGTGTGCGTGCGTGCGTGCGTGCGTGCGTGCGTGCGTGCGTGCGTGTGTGTGTGTGTGTGTGTGTGTGTGTGTGTGTGTGTGTGTGTGTGTGTGTGTGCGTGCGTGCGTGCGTGCGTGCGTGCGTGCGTGCGTGCGTGCGTGCGTGCGTGCGTGCGTGCGTGCGTGCGTGCGTGCGTGCGTGCGTGCGTGTGTTCGTGCGTGCGCGCGCGTGCGTGCGTGCGTGTCTTTTCAGTCAGTCTGGGGTGTTTGCCTTTCTGCATTGCGTGAGCGCCTCGGGATTTTCCGCATGCATCCGCACCTGCGTTTTTCCTGCAAGCGAGTGCCCCCCTCCAATCTACCCATCCGCTGCGCCAAGTGGTCATTCGCCTACGCGTGACCCGGCTTAGCGCATCGCGACGGTGTCGTCACCTCGCCGCTGGAAGACTAGATGTGTGTGCGCGCGCGTGTTCAAGGGATCTGCTGCTTCGGATTTCCCTGCAAGGCGCCGTGGTTCTGTCTGGGGTAAGAGAGATCGACTCGGGGGCGGGGTCTTGGCGGTCGAGGGACGGTGATCCCATCGGGAGTCGGAGGTCGGACCTGGCATTGGGACACGGACGGACGCTTCCCCCGCCGGTCCTGCTCCATCCGCGTCAGCCACGACTCCGCCCGGCCCATGTCTCCGGCCTTGGCGCACGCGTGCACGACGGAGCTGTAGCTGATGACGTTCGGCTCGGCCCCGGACTGCCACATCTCGTTGAGCCACTTCTCCGCCCGGTCGGCGTCGCCTGCGCGCGCGCAGGCGTCGATGACTGCGTTGTAGCTCATCTGGTCGGGATCCAGGCCGAGCTCGGGCATCCTCGCGAGCCACTTCTCGGCGTGCGCAATGTCGCCAGCCTTGGCACACGCGCTGATGGCGATGTTGACGCAGATGGTGTTTGGCTTGCCCAGGCCCGCGTTGGTGAGCTTCGTGAGCCACCGCTCCGCGCCCACGGAGTCGCCAGCCTCGATTGCTTTTGGCCACGGGGTCACCCCCCACGCTCGAAACGGTTTCGGGCCATCGCTGGCGCCAGAGATGACGGATTCCAGGGGCACGCGCGCAAATCCACATCGCCTGGCCAGGCGATCGCCTTCTGGCCCCCTGGGCCTTGGGGCGGCGAGGGGCAAGAGCAGCGAAAGAGGGGAGGGGGGGAATTGGAGAGTAGGAGGGTTGGACCGGGTCGGACCGACGGCGAGGGAGGGGAAGGGGAACAGCAGGGGCCTTAGCGTAGGCGTTGATCAACGCCCCGTACATGACGACCGACAGCTGCTGTCCATTCACCTTCGCGCTTGGGCACACGGGGCGACATGGTTAAATGACACGTATGTTTGTGCTGCCTACCAGCCTAACTCCAAGAGCCCTCCTGGGCACCGTCCTGACCAATTGTTCGGACCGCGTCCAGCCGCGGCGACGAGGTCTTCTGGGGGCAACAGATGAAGTCAGCCCGCCTACTTGGGGGGCACCCAGGTGCGTGAAGCAATCTTCTGCAGGGGCCGCGCGAGAGCGGCTCAGCTGGCCCGATGCCTGCCGTTCGCCGCGCGTCCAGAAAGCTTCAAAAGGACCCCCCCGCCGTGGCCTCTTCGAAAGCCCTCGGAGGCCTCCAGATGAACCACGGAGAAGGACGCGCAATTCCACTGGCCAGCGGCTGGCGGCCAGGGGGCTACCCTGAGGCCCCACTGAGGGCTCCCTGGAGGTTCCGAAGAACTGCGCTGCACGATGAGAGACCACCTGCAGGGATTCAGGCGGATCGCCCCCTCGCAACCACGCAGGGGGTCTGCCGGAGGAGGGCGCTGCGCTGTAGCGTAATGCTTCTGCGTAGTTTGTTCGCGCAGCGGAGGAGGAGGAGGAGGAGGAGGAGGAGGAGCAGGAAAACGTGCGTTGTGGAGGAGGAGGAGGAGGGCAGGAGGAGGAGGAGGAGGAGGAGGAGGAGGAGGAGGAGGAGGGCGCTGCGCTGTAGCGTAATGCTTCTGCGTAGTTTGTTCGCGCAGCGGAGGAGGAGGAGGAGGAGGAGGAGGAGGAGGAGGAGGAGGAGGAGGAGGAGGAGGAGGAGGAGGAGGAGGAGGAGGAGGAGGAGGAGCAGGACAACGTGCGCTCGTGGGCGCCCCGTGCCCGGGGTGGGTCCGCCGAGGTCTCGCCAAGCTCGCGCCCGTGCCGCCTCTTCGGCGCTCGCGGGCGCCCCGTGACTCGGGGCGGGTCCGCCGAGGTCTCGCCACGCTCGCGCCCGCGCCGCCTCGTGGGCGCCCCGCGCCCCGTGACTCGGGGCGGCTCCGCCGAGGTTTCGCGGCGTTCGCGCCCGTGCCGCCTCTGTGCCCCTGTGCCCTGGCGGGTAGCATCGCAGCGTTCGGGCACTTGTGGGCGCCCCCGTGCCCTGGTGGGTAGCATCGCGTGCACGACACAGCTGACACCGCGTGGCCTGCACAGCATATATCACCCCGCGTAGCTCGGACCGAGCAGCTTCCACAACGTAGCTCAAGCCACATCGCTCACACCACGTAGCTTACAGAACGCAACATGCACCGCACATCGTACACGACACAGCTAGCAGCTCACAGTTTGCACTGCACAGCTGGCCCCCCCGCAGTAAAAAATGGTCCACTTTCTGGGGGTCCACGCTGGTGAACCCTTTTTCTTTGTCGGCAGCGCTGGCCGTCGCCAGCGCGCCTGCAGCGCCAGCGGGCTGCGCTGGGAACCAGGCACACCAGGAGGGGCGGAAGGAGGGAAGAGGGAGGAGGGAGGGAGGAGGGCGGCCGCGGGGGCGGGAATGACGATGCCTGGGCCGCCGTGAGGGTCGGAGGGGGGAGAGCGCGCGGGCGGCCACGGGCTCTCCTGGGAGAAGCGGCGTGCTGCCAGGTGGCCGCGGTCGGTCCGGGCTGTCGAGGGCGGGGCAGCGGCGGTAACGGTCGTGGGGCACGCCGCCGGCGAGCAGGCCGTGGGCGGCATCCCGTGGGGTCCGCCAGGACCGCACGAGGCCAGCGACGACGAATCCAGCTTGCTGGCCTGCACGCACAGATGCATGCGTGTATGTGTATGCATGTATGCATCTATGTATGTATGGCTGTATGTATGTGTATGTGTATGTGCATGTATGTGAATGTGTATGTGCATGTGTATGTGCATGTGTATGTGTGTATGTATGTATGTGTATATATATATAGGTATGTGTATGTGTATGTGTGTATGTATATATATCTATTATCGCATGTTCATGTGAACGCGCAAACAAATAGGCGCCTTCGCCTGCCGAGCGATTGCCTCCGCCTGCGCCAGGTCACCCGCCTTGAGCGCGGCGTACAATCTGCCTGACGGGCCGCCCGCGAGGGACACCTCGTGCTCGTCCTCCTCCAGGAACGGTGAGTATCAAACGCAATCTATCCGCTCCTCTCTCCTCATCCCCCTTCTCCTCCATCTCTTTTCGGTACTGCAAGTAAAGCTTGCAACAATGCTGGAAGATCTATTTCAAGCTTGCACCACTTAAAAAGATTAAGGGCTCACTTTATCGCCGCGCATTCTTTTACGCATTTGCAAGGATCGAGGGCGCACAACTCAGCGCCGCGCGCATTCGCTTTAAACGTTGCAATAGCTGTCAGGATGGAGGGCAAGTCGTTTTCCAACGGAGGTTCTCGCCTCAGCGCCGCGCGCGTTCTTGTTTGAACGCTTGCGACCGTAATGGGGATGGAGGGCGGTAACTTTACAACACGAGGCTCTCTCTTCAGGTTTCGTCAAATGCAGAGACCAGAAAAAAAGAGGAACGACCAGTGAAACAGCAGCGCGGGAGGAGGGCGGTTCCTTTGCAAAGTGGGGTTCTCGTTCGAGACTTCCTCAATGTTAGTGTCCAGCAGTGCGAGCCTGAAAAAGGGCGTCGAAAACCAAAGATGCGCTGGAAGGCAAAGGGCGCCGACAATCAAAAGGACACCGAAAACCCAAAGGGCGCCGAAAAACAAAGGTGCGCCGAACACCCAAGGGGTGCCGAAAACTCAAGGGGCGTCAAACACAAAAAGGCGCCGAAAGCCTAAACGAACGCCGAAAACTCAAGTGGCGCCGATTACCCCAAAAGGCTAAAACCAGTGTAGCGCCGAAAACCAAAAAAAGCGCCGAACACCAAAAAACACCGAAACCCAAAAGGGAACCCAAACCCAAAAGGTCGCCGAACTTGCAAAGGACACCGGAAACCAAAGGGGCGCCGAAAACCAATAGGGCGCCGAAAACCAAAAGGTCCCAAACACCAAAAGGGCACCGAAAACCAAAACGGTGCCGAAAACCAAAGGGGCGCCGAACACCAAAAGGGCACCGATATTCAAAACGGCGCCGAAAACCAAAGGAGCGCCGACAATCAAATGGGCGCTGAAAACCGCAGGTGCGCCGAACACTCAAGGGGCGCCGAAAACCAAAGGGGCGCCGAACACCAAAAGGCGCCGAAAGCCGAACGAACGCCGAAAACCAAAGACGCGCCGAACACCTAAAAAGGCTCCGAAAACCAAAAGGGCTTCGAAAACCGAAGAGGCGCCGAAAGCCAAAAGAGCGCCGAAAACCAGTGTAGCGCCGAAAACCAAAAGGGCGCCGAACACAAAAAAACACCGAAACCCAAAAGGGAACCAAAACCCAAGAGGTCGAAGAACTTGCAAAGAACGCTGGAAACCAAAGGGGCGCCAAGAACCAATAGGGCGCCAACAACTAAAGGGTCGCCGATCACCAAAAGGGCACCGAAAACCAAAACGGTGCCGAAAGCCAAAGGGGCGCCGAACACCAAAAAGGCACCGATAACCAAAACGGCGCCGAAAACCAAAGGAGCGCCGAAAACCAAAGGGGAGCCGAAAACGACGAGGGCGCCGAGAACCAAAGGAGCGCCGACAACCGAAAGGGCGCCGAAAACCAAAGGGGCGCCGAAACCCAAGGTGGCGCAGAAAACCAACAGGAGGACGAACACCAAAGCAACGCGGAACAAAAAAGGGGCGCCGAAAACCACAGATGCGCCAGAAAGCAAAGGGCGCCGAAAGCGACACGGACACCGAAAACCAAAAGGACGCCGAAAACCAAGAGGGCGCCGAAAACCAAAAGGAGGACGAACACCAAAGCAGCGCCGAGGAAACAAGGGGCGCCGAAAACCACAGATGCGCCGGAAAGCAAAGGGCGCCGAAAGCCACACGGACACCGAAAACCAAAAGGGCGCCGATAACCAAGAGGGCGCCGAAAACCAACGGGGCGCCGAACACCCGAGGGGCGCCGAAAACCAAACAGAGCGCCAAAAACCAAAGAGGCGCCGAAAACCAACGATGCGCTGTGAAAGCTAAAAGGGCGCCGAAGATCCAAAGGGGCACCGATAACCAACAAGGCGCCGCAAACAGCAGAAGCTCCGAAGCCGGACAGGGCGCCGAAAACAAAAAGGGCGCCGAAAACCGAAGGGGCGCCAAAAACCGCAGGGGCGCCGAAAACCAAAGAGGCGCCGAAAGCCAAAGGGGCGCCGAAAACCAACGATGCGCCGAACACCAAAATGATGCCGAAAAACCAAAGACGCGCCGACAGCCAAAAGGGCTTCGAAAACCGAAGGGCGCCAAAAACCAAAGGCGCGCCGCAAGCCGAATGGCGCCCAAAACCAAAGGGGCGCCGAAAAACAAAGAGCGCCGAAAACCAAAAGGGCGCCAAAAAACAAAGGGGCGCCAAAAATCAAGAGGGCGCCCAAATGCAAGAGGGCGCCGAAAACCAAAGGAGCGCTGGAAGCCAAGAGGGCGCCGAAGACCAACGATGCGCCGAAAACCAAAGGGTGCGCAGATAACAAAAAGGGGCGTCGAAAACCAACGGAGCGCCGAAAACCACAGGAGCGCCGAACACCAAAACGATGCGGAAAACCACAGGAGCGCCGAAAACCAAAGGGGCGCCAAAGGCCCAAGGGGCGCCGAAAACCAGCCAGGCGCCGAAAACCAAAGAGACGCCGAAAACCACAAGTATGCCGAAAACCAGCGGGGTCCGAAAACCAAAAAGGAAATGGCCAGGGCCCTCCAGCTGGAAAAACCAACAGAAGGAGGGGAGGGGGGGTAGCTTCGGAAGCCCCCCCCCTTTGGAAAGTGGAGCCCGGGGTTACCCCGGGCCCCGGAAGGGAGAGGGGAGGGTAGCTTCTAAGCCCCCTCCCCCTAAGCCAGGGACGCCCCAGCTACAAAATCCAATTGGAAGGGGGTAGTCGCTTCGGAAGCCCCGCCCCCCCCCTTTGAAAGGGCTGACCCGGGGCCCCGAAAAGGGGGGGAGGGGGGAGGGGTAGCTTCCAAGCCCCCCCCCTTAGCTAGGCCCCCCCCCAGCTTCAAAAGTGCTCGGAGGTGGGGTAGCCTCGGAAGCCCCCCCCACCCCTTCCAAGGGAGGGGGGTGGAGGGTGGCTTGAAGCTGGGGCCCCCCTTTCAGTGAGAAGTGTGCCACGAGCGCGGTCTTTCACACATAACCTCTCTCTTTACATCTCCATTCTATATATATATATATATATAGATATATTCTCTTTCTATGTCTCTCTCTCTTCTCTGTCTCTTTCTCTCTGTCTCTGTCTGCCTCTCTCTCTCTGTCACTCTCCTACATCGTTCCTCTGTCTCCGGAGGAGGAGGAGGAGGAAAGGAGGAGGAGGACAACGAGGAGGAGGAGGAGGAGGAGGAGGAGGAGGAGGAGGAGGAGGAGGAGGATCTCTCTCTTTCTCCCCCGTCTCCTCGGTGGGGAAGTCCAGCGAGGACGCGCGCTCGTGCGGCGAGGCATCCGACCTCGCAGGTGGGCCAGAAGGAGAGCGTGCCCGCCACTCCCGCCCGCCCCCCAACCCCCGTCTGGCAAGGGGATGTCAACCAACGCAGACTCCAAAGAGAACGTAACAATTGACATGGACAGGACGAGGAGGGAGCGATGTAGGGAGGAGGCGGATGAGGAGGAGGAGGAGGAGGAGGAGGAGGAGGAGGAGGGTGATATCAACCAATGCAGACTCCAAAGAGAACGTACTCCAGATTTCGTAATAAAGGGAGGGGGGGTCTCATTTCGGGGGGGGTCTCTTCCAGGCTATCTTGGAGGGCCTGGGGGGTCTGGGGGCGATGTTTTGGAGGGTTCTCCCACGGGGGAGGTCTGACATGGCTTGTCTTGGAGGGTCCAGACCCCCTCCCTTTTATTACGAAGTCTGGAGTAACAATTGACATGGACTGAAGTAGACCGGACTGGAGTAGACTGGACCATCTACCCCGCTCTGCTCTACTCTGCTCTGCTCTGCTCTGCTCTACCCTACTCTACTCTGCCCTGCCCTGCCCTCACCTACTCTACTCTACTCTGCACTGCTCTACTCCACTCTACTCTAGTCTACCCGACACTACTCTCCCATCTATCCTACTCTACTCTACTCTGCTCTACTCCTCTCTACTCTACTCTACCATGCATTGCCTTACCGACCCTACCGTACTCTGAGATGATCACATGTTTATGTACTCTACCCTTCTCTCTTCTACTCTACTCTACTCTACTCTGCTCAATTTCCTCCGTCCCTACTATACAATATACCCTACTCTACCTTACTCTACGCTGCTCTATTTTACTGTGTTCTATCCTACCCTATCTTACCCGACCCTAAACTACTCCACTCTACTACTACTCTACTCTACTCTGCTCCTCCTCTACTCTACTCTCCTCTACTGTACTCTGCTCTACTCTAGTCTACTCGATTATGCTCTACATATATGCACTAGTACTCTCTGAGTTTGTCTACTCTGCTCTACTCTATTATACACTCCTCTACTCTACCATCTACCCTACTCTACTCTACTCTGCGCTGCTCTACTCCACTCTACCCTACACTAGCATACCCAGATCTACTCAAGTCAACTCAACTGAACTCTACGATCTAACCCACCCTACTCTACTGCTCCACTCCATTCTACTCTACCCCGACGCATACCCCAATCTACTTGCCTCGCCACTACGCTACTATACTCTCCCTGCTCAACTCTACCCTACCCTGCTCTACTCTCCGTGTTCTACTCTATTCCTACCCTAGTACTCCTACTATGCTCTACTCCACTCTACGCTACTCTACTCTACTCTGCTCTGCTCCACTCTTTCCCGTTGGCCAACAGGAAGTCCCCAAGCGCGTCCTGATCCATGCTGGCAGCTATACCGCGCAGGGGAGGGTGGAGGACGACGTGACCAGAGCAGGCGGAGAGGACAGGGCGAGAGAGGGTCGGGTCGGGCGAAAGGGGGGGATAGCAAAGGGGGGGGTTGAGAATCAGTTCACGTAGCTGATTTTCCCGGCGCCTCCCGGGCCGGAGGCGGCCACGTATCGAAGAATGGGCCCAGCGGCGGGGCCGAAACCAGCTGCATGCAGCAGATGTCGTAACCCCCCCCTTTCCCAATCCCCCCCTTTCGCCCGGCCCGAGGAAGGGAGGGGGAAGGGATCGAGGGCGAGGCGGCGGTCGCGCGCGCCCTGCGCTGGCCGGGCAGTGCCCCGGCCGGGGCTGCCCGCGGGAGCAGAGGCGCAGGCCCGCACGGCCGGGGCCCGCGGCCGCGGAGAGGCGCGGCGAGGGCCCGCGCGCGGCGCGCGGCGGCGGCCGCGGGCGGCGGGCGGCTCTGCGCGAGCCCGGCGTCTGCCCTGCCCGGCGGGCGTGCTGGCCCGCAGGAGCGGCGGAGCCGAGGCCAGCGGAGGCGGAAAGCCAGGAGGAGGAGGAGGAGGAGGAGGAGGAGGAGGAGGAGGAGGAGGAGGAGGAGGAGGAGGAGGAGGAGGGAGGAGGGAGGAGGAGGAGGAGGACGAGGAGGGGGGGGGGGCAGCCGGGCGAATCGAGGCTGGAGGCCAGGGCTGCTCTGCTCTCTGCTCCCGCCCTGCTCCTGCTCTCTGCTCCTGCTCTGCTCCTGCTCTGCTCCTGCTCTGCTCCTGCCTGCCTCGCTCTCCTCACTGCTGCTCTACTCTGCTCTGCTCTGCCCTGCTTGACTCCACTCACCTACTCTTCTCTGATGTGCTCTGCTCGCCTCTTTTCTACTCTGCTCTGATCTACTCTACTTTTGAACTTGCCGATTTATTGGGCGATTGGTGGTGGGACGCCATTGAAATAGCCACAGGAAGCCATTGCAATCTCAAGTGAAGCCATTGCAATCATGTGGGGAAATTCCATGGCAATCACTTGGGTGCCACTGGAAACATTTGGGTGAAAACCGTTGTAACACTTTGGACGCCATTGCAACCATTAGGGGGGCACTGCAACCATTTGAGGAAAATTAGGGCGCATGGGGGCATCACAGGAACAGTTCTCTACGCATTGAACTACGACTCCAATAGGCAAGCCTATTAGACAATCAAGGGGGTGAGGGGAAGGGGCAGGATTCGCGTAAGAACTTGGGGACGAGGAGCAAGAGCAGAAGGATGAGGAAACGCAGGCGGATGAAAAGGAGAAAGGAGAGGAGGCCCAAGCGTCTCAGGGAAGAGGGAGAAACACCATCGGATGATGAGCAAGACTACGTGGACGAGCACGAATCGAATTAAGCGACGGCGTATGTATGACTACGCGAAAGCAACAGTACTCGCCGTCGTCGTCGTCAAGGGTCAAGGGGGCCAAAGGGGTCAAGGGTTAAGCCCGCGCGCCCCGAGGCGAGCCCATTAAAGGTGCAGGCGGTGGCAGCCTACTGCGTGCTATACACGCTTGCGACCCGATCCTACAACACAATACGTGCGCTGGGGAGGTATCGTTCACATAGTGCGCTCACATGGTATCGGAAGAATACGGGTGTGAGCAGTGGCGTGCGTATGAAGACGAACGAACGAAGCGCCATGCTGGAGCGCGATGGTGAAAGAAAACACTGCCAACCCTTTTCCCACCGCTTGGTGGGAGCGGCGGCGCGTCGGCGGTCTGGTAATATCGTGCGCGGCTGGAGGAGCACGGGAAAAGGTGAAGGGTACGGGGACAAGGAGGAAGATAAACCTATGCACTCACGAACTGTCGCCAGGCTGCTGTGGCTTGTTGGCGCCCTGCACGATTGCTTCTTCAGACGAGAGCTGCAGAGCCACAAATGTTGTACAAACACTTCGCCCACTAATCTCCCTGCCGGCCCCGTGCGCGGGCCCGTGCTTCTTGCGGCCGGCCGCGTGCTGCTTCGTTGCACGGCGAAGCGGCGCAGAACTCTGAATCTTCCCCGCTCTGCCTTGCCCGAAGCCACAACAGCTGGTGTTCCCCACACGATGCTTGCACTCAGGGGTTCTTACGAGGACGAGGAGGAGGAGGAGGAGGAGGAGGAGGAGAAGGACGGGGAGGAGGAGGGGGAGAAGGAGGGGGAGGAGGAGGGGGAGGAGGAGGAGGAGGAGGAGGAGGAGGAGGAGGAGGAGGAGTTGCTCGTCCGCTGCTGCCCCATCTTCTCCCCTATTTAGAAAGCCCGCCCGCGGGGGCCCGGCGGCCCCGTTTTCACGTCCGTCGCCGCTCCCCCCACACCCCCCTGCACCCTCCCCCCGCCGGCACTCCCCCCCCTGCGTCGTTCACATCGCAAGCTTTGCACTACTTTGCATCGCACTGCGCTGCTTTCTCGCTGCTCCTCTGCACTGCTCTGCCAGCCTGCGTTGCCTTGCACCGCGTCGCGGTGGCACTCCTCTGCATCGCACTGCAACGCTTGCCGCTGCTTGGCATGTCTGCATTGCTGGGATGGCTTTGCACTGCTTTCCGCTGCCCTGCGCGGCTTTGCATCGCTTTGCGTTGCATTGTATAGTATAGCTTTGCTTAGAACTGCTTAGCATTGCCGTTACCCTGCATCGCGTTGCATTGCTATGCACTGCTTCGCATCACATTGCGTTGAGTTGCATTACGCATCATTACGTTACGATGCTTTGCGCCACATAGATTGCACCACATGGAATGCACCACCTAGATTGCACCACGTTGATTGCACCACCTATTTGCACCGCACAGATTGTACGACATTGCTGTATGGTGTCCACGCTGGCTAACCTGGTAGACGTTGCGTCGTGTAGGCAGCTGGCCTGCTTGCAACAGCACCTGTTCGCCAATGACTCGCGGAACGCACGCGTGGGGAATGTGCACGGTGCGACGTAGACACATCGCCTGAAAGCCATCACATGCTCTGCGTTCGGCTTTGTCGGGCCACGCTGAATTCAGAAATCGCATGACCTTGCTTGTCGAAACTCGCACAGCTTTGCGCTTTCTAGACATGTTGCATGTCGCGTGCGTCCACGAGGGGGTGTGTCTGTACAACTCAACCAATGCAATTCCTAGTCTTTATTTCAATTCACCGCGAAGCTGACTATAGCTAGATAATGTGGATCCGAGATTGACCATCGAATCTTTTCCAAGAGTTTGCCACCCAGAGCGTGTGAAAAATAACAACGCCGCAACGAACAATCGTTGTACAAAACTGTCCCAACGCAATTTCATTCATTTGTTTTACACATGCTTTGTGCTGAGGATACAGATTGCGAATCGCAAGCAGCGGCCATCAACACATTTCAACCTACCCAAAATTTCGTCTTCCAACGCCAGTCGTGCTTCAACGTTTGCGTGGTGTGTAGCATTTCGAACCACTCTCGTCATTACTATGGTAAACAAGAGAGGCGAGTGTGGGCAACCATGTGATATTCTGGTCAACAACCTTCTTTCGGATGACGTGCGTCGCCCATCTGCTACGCTGAACTCTCGACGATCGTAAGTTTTACCAACAAATCTACGAAAATGCTGACGGGCTTCAGAATTGTGTGAGGATTTCAGCAACATCCCGGCATGCAACGATCCAGAGGCAATGCTGCCGCTTCATCTTTGTCCTCGTACGCATAGTGGCAGACGGCGTGTATAACATCTGGTGTCCCGCGCCCCCTGCGGAAGCCGAGCAGTGCTGGCGATAGTTTGTCCTCGGCCCCAGCGTCTTGCATCCGTCGTAAAATGGGGCCCGTCAAGATTTTATGCGCAACGCAAAGTAAGCTGATGGAACGGCAATTGTTGCAAATATCGACGGCCTTTCAGTTGTAAAGATCGTTGAGAATATGGGTTGCTTCCGCTCTTCAGGCAGTGTTTCCACATTCCAGCGTTTGTTGGATCAGCCTGCAATCCGCTCAGTCCCGACTGGGTTTGTTACGATGTTCTTGCAATGCTCTGTCGTCCACACCATAAGCTTCCTCGCGATAGATTCTGGTGGTTGCTGTACCCGCCTTCCCATTTGCACACTTTGATTCTGGCGCGGGCGAGGGGTCATCAGCTTGGTCGTCTGGCTGCTCTGCAATCTGCACTTGCTGCTGCCCTTTCTCCAAGTACTCTGCCATTGTTTCTGCCATTCTGAACGACGGGAACAGAGCGCCGATTTTGGACTGACGCCAACGCTACACTGGGATCATCATTGGGAAAGGAACGAACACTTCCAGAGCGGAAGCGCACATGCGCCACGACGAGACAGGGTCAGGGGAGAGAGGACGGTGGCACGCCTATCGGTATTGAGCAATCGGGGCGGAGACACACCAGCGCAAGGAGGACGAGGAAGACGACAAGGACCCATGTTTCCCGCCCGGGACCTGCTGGACGCCCGCCTCCGGAGCGCCGCGGGCTTCTTGGGATGCGCCGCGGGCTTCTTGGCGGCCTTCGCCCCGCCGCAGGAGCGGGACACCACCTCCGGCTGCCCCGCCCTGCCCATTCCTGCCCCGCCACCCACCTCCCCGCTCCCCCTCCCTGCCGCCGCTCCCCACCTCCCCTCTCCCGCGCACCGCCGCCTCCTCCTCGCCTCGGCTGCCTCCGATGGGCTTGGATACGTGCTGGCAGCTGGTGGCTGCCTGAAGGGCTGCCGCAAGGTACACGACTCCTTTTCTGCGCCGCAGGGCCCGGCCAAGTTTCCTGCTCGGCGGGGCAGGCGGCTCTGGCGCACGCCCTTCCGTTTCTTGGAGAGGCCGACATGATCTGCAACGGTTCTGGCGGAACGGTCTCATGTTCGACTCGGCTCTGCAAACGTTGCTGCTGGTCTTCCTTTCCTCCGCACATGTTTGGACATGGAGGTTATTTAACTCGCCAAAAAAACATGGGGTTGCATTTTCTGTAGGCAGGGGCGTTTTTCGCTGTGATATACTTGCCCCTGCTATGAACGGAGAGATTCGTTCACGCGGCTGGCGCCTGCTTCAAAGGTCCGTCCCTGAGGGACCTGGTGTGTCCTGCCTTCCAGGCGGCCCGTCCGGCCGCGGCGTCGAGTGGATCCAGCTGCGCACCTCTCTCAGTCGACAACAGCAATGCGTTCGCAGCGACCCACAGCCAACAAGAATTCTGTGGTCTGGACCAGTGCGCGATGAGGCGTAGCAGGGTCGACAATTTGTTTTGGCACGATCGGCAGACCCCATCCGATTAAGTAAACAGCCTGCGATCAGTGCGGGCACCATGCTTGATCCGGGCGTTCGTAGGGCCCGGCGGGTGTTTGTATCGTCAGGGGTGCACTCTATGAATCCTCGAGAGCGGCAGAAAGGGGGGTCTAGTCTCCAGGAAGAGTCCCAGACCCCCCCAAATAGCCGATAAGAAACGCATGACTAGCCTTCAGGGCATCTGAAGATCTTCCTTGGGGGCTAGCCTGCAGGAAGAGACCCAGACCCCCCCTGATAGCTGGTAAGAAACTTACGCCGAGCCTCTTAGGGCATCTGAAGATCTGCTGAGGGGGGCTGAAGATCTTCTTGGGGGGCTGAAGAGCTCCTGGAAGGGGCTGAAGAGCTTCTTGGGGCCTCTTGGGAGCTTCTCGCGGCCTCTGCAAAAGCTTCTGGGGACTCCCGAAGGGTTTATCGGGGTCTCTGGGGAGCTTCGTGCGGCCTCTCTAGAATTTCTTGAGGCTCGATTGATGATGATGATGATGATGATGATGATGATGATGATGCTGCTGCTGCTGATGATGATGATGATGATGATGTTGATGATACTGTTGATGATGATGGTGATGATGATCATGATGATGGTGATGGTGATAGTGCTGATGGTGATGATGGAGCAGAAGGAAGACGAGGAGGAGCAGGAGCAGGAGAAGCAGGAGGAACAGGATAAGGAGAAGCAGGACTCGTGGTTCGATTCAATGAGCACGCGTCTTGATTTGTGGCACGCCGTTGTATCGTCTGCTCATTTCTTTGAGTCTGTGTCGTCTGCATGTGCTCACGAGGCGGTTGCAGTGCATCAGTGTTGGGCGTGTGACCGGACACCTTCCACGCAGCAAGCGATGTTGCGCCCATTTGCGCACGACCTTTTCTTTGGCGAACTCAAGGGCTGAATGCTTGTTTTGTGCCCTCTGTCGAGCCTCCGCTGGCAAACGGAGGAGGGGAGCCGCCGCATGTGACACCTCTCGTCTTCACTTTTCGGCGAACCCTCATGGACCTTGCTTTGGCTGTCTTGGGGCTGCCCTGTGCTCCTGTGAGCCCGTCTTGGGGCTCCCCTGGGGCCCTCTGTGGCCTTCTCGGGGCTCTTGAGGCCCTCGCGGCCGTCTGGGGAATCTCGTGGGGGCCGTCGTGGGACCGTACTGCGCCGTCCAGGGGTCATCTTAAATCGTCTCGGTTCCCTCCAGAGGCCTCTTGAGCCACTCCTTGCATCGTGGCACGAGTCGCTACAACGGTGCCCCCGTCTAGCCGGCTCTTCCGCCAGCGCAGTTGCTCTGCCAAGCCGCCGACGCAAAGTGTGTGTGTGTGTGTGTGTGTGTGTGTGCTTGTGTGTGTGTGTGTGCGTTGCCCCGGTCTCAAAAAATCGGCCTTTCACGCGGGTCCATGAGCCGTAGGCGCTCATGCCAGCATGCTACCCCAAATTCCTTGCATCGTGGCACAAGTCGCTACAACGGTGCCCCCGTTTAGTCTTACCGGCCTGGAACAGATCCCTGTCCCTATGCTGGGCACCTCCTCGTCACGATGCCAGTCTTAGGGATTCCCTTATCTTTTGAGGGCGGATCCCTAAGATTGTCATCGCCTTTTGGCGTGTCAATCTTAGGGATAGGGATACGTTCGAGGCTGGTAATAGTCGGCTCTTCCGCCAGCGCAGTGACTCTGCCAAGCCGCCGACGCAAAAAGTGTGTGTGTGTGTGTGTGTGTGTGTGTGTGTGTGCGCGTGTGTGTGTGTGTGTATGTGTGTGTGCGTGTTGTGTGTGTGTGTGTGTGTGTGTGTGTGTGTGTGTGTGCGTTGCCCCGGTCTCAAAACATCGGTCTTTCACGCAGGTCCATTGAGGCCTCCCCTTCCCACTGTCTGCTTGCCCTCGCCGGCCTCATCCACAATGCAGGGTGCAATTATCCGGGGCCGCCCCGTACATACTAGGCCCGCGACTCTGGTGTCACATCGCCAGCGGAGGAACACATGTTTGAGGTATGTCTTATTTTTGTAGTTCTATATATATATCTCTCTCTCTCTGTCTCCCTCTCTTTCTCTCTGGGTAGCTGCGAGAACGTCCAACGCCGCACTTGGTGGTCCACTAGCTCAATTGCTCAATAAACACTGCTTCTTTTTTGCGTGGCCCACGTACCTTTCGGCACACATTGCGATTCCTCAATCGAAACCTTCAGTCCTCCCTTCCCCCCCTCACCTCCCCTCCCTTGCCCATGCCCCGCCCTCCCCTCCCCTCCCCTCCCCTGGCCTGCCTTGCCGCGTCCTCCCCCGCCCCTCTCCGCGCTTTCCCGCCGTGTGTGACCTGCCACTCCTCGGCCCTTCCCCTCCACCTCGCCTCCCTCCTCTCCTCCCCCCTGCCCGTCCCTTCTCTTTGGCCCCCCTCCTCTCCTCACTCCCCCTGCCCCATCATCATCATCATCATCATCATCATCATCATCATCATCATCATCATCATCATCATCATCATCATCATCATCATCATCATCATCATCATCACCATCATGATCATGATCATCATCATCACCATCACCATCATCATCATCATCACCATCATCATCATCATCATCATCATCATCATCATCATCATCATCATCATCATCATCATCCTGCCTCCTCCTCAGCAGGGCACGGCCCGTGCGAGCCTCGAAGAGCGGGAGGAACACCACGACGGCCGACGCCTCCCACAGCCCCGCGGAGCCCTTCGCGAAGAAGTAGCTGCCGGAGAAAGAACCTTCGCGAGCGCCCGTCAGAAACTGCGGACGTTCTGAGGATTTTCCCAAGGAGGCGATCCCAGTCGTCCTTCTAGGGCCCCTCCCTCCCTCCCTCCCTCCTGTTTCCTCCTCCTCATCCATCATCCTCCCCTTCCTCATCCTCCATCATGCCCTTCCTCTCAGTACTGCGCTCGGCGAACTCAAGGTGCTGGCCTGTAGCGTTTGCATCGTCCTCGTCCTCGTCCTCGTCGTCCTCCTCCTCCTCCTCCTCCTCCTCCTCGTCGTCCTCCTCCTCCTCCTCCTCCTCCTATCGTGTCGGTTTGGGCCCAAGCTGCTCCCTGGCGCTCCTCGGATGCATGCGCGGATGGCTGGACGGGGCGAGGCCTCGCAGCCCATGGCCGAGGACCGCATCCGCTGCAGCCGCCGCCAGGAATCTCCGCCCGGGCCGTACGCCGCACGCGCGCCGCGCTGGAACACGCCAGCAGCGCTCCCGCGCGGCCGCGACGCAGCTGCGAGAGGTCGTGCTCGCCCCACCGTCGGAGCCGCCGACGCCAGCGCGCCGCCCGCTGCTGTGGCGCGCCGCAGCTCCGCGGCCCGCGAGCTCGGCGTGCCCGCGGCGCAGATCCTCGCTGCTGGGCGAAGCCGGGCCCGGCCGTCGTCCACGTCCTGGGAGTCCTGGTGCTGGGGGCCGTCGCCGCCGTAAGGCGCGTCGTGCTTCTCGTGCTGTGCACTGAAAAGGGCCAGCGAGGTTGTGCACCTGAACCTCGAGGCGGTCGACGCCGCCGTGGAGATGGGGCTCCCTGCCTCGCTCCATGGTCGGGCCCCTCCCTGTCCTGGTTCCTCCGCTCCTTCTCCTTCCTGGCCCTCCCCTCCCCTCCCCCTCTCCCGCCTCCTCGGCCGCCTCGTCCCCTGGGGTCCTCTCAGAGTCCGGGCCGGAGGCCAGAGCGGGCCGACTCGCCGGGGCCCTTCGTTGTGTACCTCTGGGCCGCAGAGAGTGGGCCGCCTTGCGCCCCGCCGGCTGTTCGAGGGCTGGCGGGCGGAGGACAGGGACCGGGCTGGGGCTCAGGGCTGCTGCACCGAGTGGTCTTGCGCGCCAGAGTGGCCTGCGGCTGCTGCCGCCGCCGAGTCCATCCCAGGGGGGCCTCGCACGTGCGGAAAAGCACTGCTGTCTCTCAGAGTGCACAGGCGGTTGTGTCTCGAAGCAGGGGCAGCAGCACAGCGTTGTACGGCGAATGTGTTGGATGACGTGCGGGTTATCGCGGAAGTACATACTTCTTCTGGACGCACGCTCAAGGCTGGCGCTCCTTTGTTCATGCCGGGGTAACATGCAAGACCTCATGCTTGAGCGGGACTCGGGAGCGCCCGTCAACAATGCCATCATGACACGTGGAACCCCCGTGTCCGACTAGCAGCAGCGAAGCGGCCCTCCTCTCTCCTCTTCCTTTCTGTTTCTCTTCCTCCTCTTCCACCTCCCTCCTTCCTCCTTCCTCCGTCGTTCCGAATTGTTCATCCTCGCTCCTGCTCCTCCTCCTTCCTCCTTCTCCCTCCTGTTTCCTTCCTCCTCCTCCTCCTCCTCCTCCTCCCCTACCTCGGCCAACAATCCGCTAGCGCCGTTCGGACAACTCGGATTGAACATCGCCTCGAGGGAATTGGCCTGGGCAAGGTCTGCGGATGGCATCAGTGCGCCAAAGAACCGTGGGATCCAACGAGGCAACTCTGGGGAGAGAAATCCGAGCCGGGCTCGTTATGAATCATCTTCACAGTGCCTTGCTTGTCTCATCGCGTCGCCATTCGCGCCGAATCCATGTCGAATCCACAACTCCACGTCGAATCCGCGTCGAATCCGCCTCGGACACACGAACATACCGCATGTACAGGACAAACAAGGGCCCGTGAAGTTGCAACGTGAAACTTGGACATCAATCCGATCCCGTCCGAAGCGTCCGAATGTTTCGTCCTCCAACGGCTCTGCTGAAGAACCAGAAGATGTCTGAAGCAAGAATGTCTCGTCTTCGCCCGTGACGTCGCCTGCTCCTTGATTTAAGCTCGTTGGCGCCAGGAGGTCAACGATCGTGGCAATGGCGACGATGACTGCGAGGGGCACGAAACTCCTGATTAACGGTTGACGGAGCGCACTGGCGAGGCTCATCGATAGTATGGAATGAGTGTGAACACGTAAAAATATTATTGTCGTGAATCTTTGATAGTGGAAAACGTGCTTAGCCAGAGCCGCGAGCGGCCTGAGCCCCAACAGCGACGGAATGTGGATCACAAGAAGGGCCATCAATTGTAACTACCAACGCCTGTCTCAAACAGGCACCTCTGCCTGACTACGTAGGTGAACGAGCTTGTGAGCAGACTGTGTCGCATTGTCGTCTCGAGGGGGATTCCCACCTGGCCAAGCAACAAAAAGAGTGGATGAGCCAGCCTGGATAGGGAAGGAGCAGAGGCGCTGGCAGAGGAGAGCAACTGACTCGGGACGACGATAAATCGTCTCGAGGGGAGAACGCGCAATCTGATGTATGTCCACTCTGGTCAGGCGACAGGAGAAGCTGGATGACAGGACGCTGGGGCGCCGAGAGGTGGGACTGGATGACTGGGACCCGGCGAAAGCCCAGAGTGGTGTCCTTTGTGGCCCGGCGCCACCGTGACCAAGAGCAGTATTACAGTCGGGGCGTTGACCTAAGGAACCCTAAATAAGGAACGAGGCCCCTTTTTTCCATAAGTTAACCTTCGATTTCTGGTCGAAAATATAAGAGAAGTCTGAGGCAAGCTGCGAAACACTTAAGGAACACCGAGCCCCTCCCCATCGAAAAGGGTTCCTTCTTCAGGGCCCCGACTGTTTATGAGGAAGAGAAACAGATGCTGCAAAGCGCCAACAGAAGGCAACGGGGCGCCGGCAAGAAGGATGTCATCCGACCGGGACCGGTATGAACGCCTCGAGGCCGAGCGGCGAGGCTGCTCGGGGGAGCGGGAGCGGCAACCAAAAAAAACCCTGCGAGAGGGGACCGGTTGCCTAGAGCCGGCGGAGGCTCCGAAGGGGAGGCCTGCTCTGGCGGAGCGGCCAATAAACCAGAGAGAGAGAGAGAGAGAGGAAGATGAAAAGGGGGAACGAAACGGATGAGGAGAGAGGGGGGGGGGGGCGAGGCTACAGCGGAAGGGGGCAAACAGACTGGTACCGAAAATACCAGACAGTTCGCCCCTCAAGGCCCAGAGGAAGATGAGAAAGGGGAACGACACGGATGAGGAGAGAGGGGGGGGGGCCGAGGCTACAGCGGAAGGGGGCAAACAGACTGGTACCGAAAACACCAGACAGTTCGCCCCCTGGTCCCCCGCCAGCCCCACGCCAAGGGGCGAGCATTTATACGGGCACAGCATCGCGCTGCATGCGTAGCCTTCGGCTGGGCCAGGCAGGGCAAGACCCAACACTGCATCGCGTGACGCGTGGACGCCCGCACCGACCACGCCTCCTCTCAACCCCTACCTCTGACCCCCCTTTCGCCACCTCCTCTTCGTCCTCGTCCTCCGTCCTCCCTCTCACCCATCCCCCCCGTCGTTCCGTGCGTGGCACATGATGCTGCTTGGTTACGTCTGGGAAATGTCCTTACCGCCCGGCCTCAAAACTGCCAGCGACATATCCTCACAACCCTCGCGTAAAACTACCAGCGTAATATCCTCACACTCTCGAATGAAACCTGCCAGCGAAATACCCTGACCACCCCTGGCCTAAAACTGCCAGCGAAATATCCTCGCCGCCCTGGCTTAACGCTGCTAGCGAAATATCCTCACACCCCTCAGCGAAAAATCCTCACCCCCCTGAACTAAAGCTGCTAGCGAAATATCTTCACACCCCTCGCTTGAAACTGCCAGCGAAATATCTTCACACCCCTGGTCAAAAACAAGAACTGCCAGCGAAATATCCTCACACCCCTCGCCTAACACTGCCAGCGAAAGATCCTCACACCCCTCGCTTGAAGCTGCCAGAGAAATCTCCTCCACCCCCGCCCTTAATACTGTTGGCGCAATATCCTCACAACCCTCGCGTAAAGTTGCCAGCGAAATATCCTCACCCCCTGGCCTAAAACTGCCAGCGAGATATCCTCAACCCCCTGAACTACAACTGCCAGCTAGATATCCTCACAACCCTCGCTGGAAACTGCCAGAGTAGTGTCCTCACCGCCCCTTGCCAAAAGTTGCCAGCGAAATATCCTCACCCCCTGGCCAAAAACTGCCAGCAAAATATCCTCACACCCCTCGCTTGAAACTGCCAGCGAAATATCCTCACAACCCTCGCTGGAAACTGCCCGCGAAGTATCCTCACCCCCTAAACTTAAAACTGCCAACGACACACATCCTCAACCCCCTGGCCTAAAACTGGCAGCGAAACATCCTCTCCGCTCATGGCCTAAAACTGCCAGCGACATACCCTCACCCCGTGGCCCAAAACAACCAGCGACATATCCTCAACCCCCTGAACTACGACTGCCAGCTAGATATCCTCACAACCCTCGCTGGAAACTGCCAGAGTAATATCCTCACCGCCCCTTGCCAAAAGTTGCCAGCGAAATATCCTCACCCCCTGGCCTAAAACTGCCAGCGAAGTCTCCTCGCACCCGTCGCTCAAAAATGCCAGCGAAAGATCCTCACCCGCTGGCCTAAAACTGCCAGCGAGATATCCTCAACGCCCTGACTAAAAACTGCCAGCCAAGTATCCTCATCTCCAGAAACAAAACTGCCATTTAATGGCTTTGGTGATTCAGTTCAACTCTGTCAGTCAGTTCTGTTAGTAAATTCTGTCTACTTCCCGAAAATCAAATTTCGGGCTGCGCCCGTAAAACAACATTTCGAAGCGGGGAGGGCCAGAAGCGGGGGGAACCTGATGCGCCCGAGAGGTTGAATATTTAGACGATCGCGGAGACGAGTAACGACCACCACCAAAATTGGCAACGCAACTTGTACAGACAATGTTAGCCAGTATGGACCCCACACAGTCAATTATTGCACTGCGGAGACTGAAAGCTATTCGGTGTAAGCTATGTGATGTGGGCTATCTGACGTAAGCTGTGACATGTAGGTTGTGTAAACCATGTGGTGTGAACTATGTGATGTGCGCTATGCGGGGTAACCTATGTGGTATCCGCTATGCTGTGTAAGGTGCGCGGTCTTAGTTGTGCGATGTGAACTATGCGGTAGAAGCAATGTCGTGCAAACTACGTCGCGTATGCTATGTGGTGCGAGCAGTGTGGCCGGGGCCAGGTTGTGTCGGCGATGTTGTCGGTGCTGTGTGGTTCTGTGTTGTGTCATATCTGCGGCGTGAGCTACGCGGTGTGACGGCGTGAGCTGTGCAGCGCAAGAGCTCTGGCGCCCGCGAGGCGCTCGCGGGAGGGCACCAGGCGAAACCTCTGCATGCCCACCGAGCGCGGGGCGCCCACGAGGCTCCCACGGGCGGGCGCCAGGCAACACCTCAACATAACCACAATCCTGGCCCTCCACCAAGGTACCCACGGGCGGGCACCGGGCGAGCAAGGAAGCCCACAAACCGCGCACCAATCGAAACCCCGACACGGCCACCCGGTTCCGTAGTACATAACATGTTAGCCAGCGTGGGCGGACCCCAAGCAGTGTTTCTGGCAATCTATGATGCGCAATCCATGTGAATCATTATAGGTGGTGCAGTGTATGTGGCGCAGTTGGTTTGTATTCATGATTTGACACATCCTGTGTTCTTGCAAACATCCCACCCACCCACCTACCCGCAACTTGGTTTGCAGAGCCCATGCGGTGGCGATTACGATGCATGCTTGGCGTTGGCTGGAAAGCTGAACTGTCTGGAACAGTTGTCCTGACAGAACACGTTTGGAGAAGACTGTGATGCCCCCCCGCGCTCTCAGCAATGCTGCGTGTGACATGGGCGCCCACTGACATTCCAATTTTCCACGCTTCCTGGTGAGGGAACGCGTCTTCGAATCCGCTTATGCCCGCAGGCGTTATCCACCTGCTGTTTGTTTACATGCCCTCGTTGCCAGCAGTGGCACTAGCTCCTGGCAGTCGCGACGACGTAACAAGGTCCACAAGACTAATACGACGAGGGGGGGAGGTGTGAGAGAACAATCTGGGGCCGTGTTGGCTGCACGGCTGCCTTGCGTGGCTCGCCCGCCCGTCCTGCCGAAGTGGTTGCAAGGAGGAAGCAGCTGGGGGGGTCCCGTCCACCGGCCGCCTCGGCATCCGTCGAGGTGGCCGCCGCAGCAGCGGCGGCTGGCGTCTGGCGTGGCTCGAGGACCTCATCTTCCGCCTGCGTGCCGATCTGGCCGATCGCAGCCTGGCTTGGGCCAGGGCGCCCCCTCATCCTGCCTCCTACTCTGCCTCCACCTCTTCCTCTTCTTCTTCTTCTTCTTCTTTCTCCTGCTGTTTCCTCCCTGCCCCCCCCACGTCCACCGCCTCCACCTTCCTCCTCCTTCCTCCTCAGCCTTCCTCGTTCCTCCTCTTCCCTTCTTTCCTCCCCCTCATCCTCCTCCTTCCACTGGCTCCCCCTCCCCACGACGCTGCTGCTGCTCATGCCCCCCTGCCCCTGACTCTTGCCTCCCTACACCCCTCGCTCTCTCCCCCTCACTCCCTCCCTCCCACCTCCATTTGCCCAGGCACCAAGACCTCGCCCCCACCCAGAAGCTCAGGGGCCGTGCCCCTCACTCTCCTCTGGCGCGTCCCTTCATCGACTTTCCCGCGACGGGCCGGCCCGAGGAATCCTACCAGGCCTTTAGGGCGTGAGTGGTTTAGATCGTTTCTTCTTCCATCTTCCCTCTTCCCCTTCAGGGAGGGGTTGATCACTGTTCCTTGTGAATATATACCCCCTCCCCCAGGCGACCGGCAGCCAACCAGGAACAATGAGGACACCATGCTCACATGCCCCACCATCCCTGTTGCAAAAATACAAAACACACTCTGCCTCCACATGTGGAGCATGATCGGCCAACCCGATGCACCCCCATCATCCCTGTCACAAAACAATGCAAAGTACACTTTTGGGCAAAGTCTTGAACCATGTTCGTGAAACCCGCGAGCACTTAGTATTGTTTTTGACAGGGGCGGCGGGGGTGTCAACATATTGCCTGCCGTGCGCCAGGCTACCATCACTGGCACAGAACAATACTAATGAGACCGTGCTTTTCCAGCGGAGAACGTCTGTTACTATCTGACAGGGTTACACGCACAGCTGGGACCGTGTGAAATCGTTAGAACCACACGCTCTGATCATTCTGCAGAGTGAAAAAGAAAAAGAGGGAGGGATAACGAAAAGTTCGAAAGGGGAGGGTGCCTTTTGATGCTTGAGCCCAATCGGTTGCGGAGAGCAACGCGTGGGAATCAAACCTGGACACGACACAAAAAAAACCTTTCACATCATTCCCGTGCACGCACTAACCTGATGAGACCGTGTTTGTCCAGCGGGAAACGTGTGCTACTATCTGACAAGGTTACACGCACAGCTGGGACCGTGTGAAATCGTTAGAACCACACGTCCTGATCATTCCAAATTTCCCGAATTGATAAGGGTTCACCAGGGGCGAAGGAGGGGAAAAGAGGAGGGGAAAACGAAAGTGCTCAAGATTGAGTCTCATTGGGCCCCAGTACGGACAGGGCCGCCCGAATTGAAACAGCAGGAGGCGTGCTTGCTAGCAGCGAGAGCTTTACCGAGGGCCGTGGCAAGGCGGGAAGGGTAAGGCTGGGCAATAGAGGTCCAGAGAACATTATGCTCATTACGGCCACTCAACTCAATGTGACGGCGGAGCGTGCGGGAGCACACACCAACTTTTCCACCGCAGACTCTGTTCAAGTTGGCTGTGTCCTCGGAACTCATGTTGCCACAAGCCAGCCACGTTCGTTTCCGCCACGGAGTCCCCCACTGACAAAAATCAGTAAGCTTCCATTCAGCTCGGGCTTGATGACAGAGCGCAAGGATCTCGGGAATGAACCACAAACGATAAGTCGAAGGATTTTCAAGAATCCAAGAAACCTTATGTCGATTAAGATGACGAAGAATGCGAAGCACAACACGAATTATCGTGTTGCCGGTTTCGAGCGAGGCTCGATCGCGGTCAGTAGCATTGGTAAGATCAGTACCCCATGGCTCAGTGCGAGACCGAATCTGAAAAGTCCCGTCGCGTGCGATAGTCAACGATGTACCAGGTAGTGCAATCATAGCGGCAAGCACCTTTTTGTGACGGATGTCAGAAAACAGCAGACGGAGCACGGTTGGGTCGGTAATGTCATGATTGGCACCATGGATGATATCCCATGCCTTGGCTGAAAACCCCATGCGCACGACCGCCCGCCCGACTTTGCCTGCCCCTGGAAAGAGGTCGGCCATGTACGTCCCATCTTTGGCTAGGCGCGGGCGGGCGGCGGCCTTGGGGCATGCTCGGGCGACAAGAGGAACTCGACGAACTGATCCTCGCACAGATGCATGTGTGCCAGCATCTCCACGGGAGGTTTGTGCAAGAAGCTGCTGAGGTGGGCGCTCTCCTCGTAGCGCTCGAGGCTTTTCCAGTTGTTCCACCGACCTCGCTTCTGACACTCCTCTTGTTTGCGGCAAGGTACCAGGCGGTCGATCAACAGGCCCGAATGCCTCATTTGGTCTGGCACCAGGCGGTAAACGCCGAGCACCTTCGCCACAGTCTTGAACTCCGCTAAGAAGGTCAAATAATCGAACGACCACAGCTAGCCGCCCCCCCCCCCCTCAAGGCCTGGGGGAAGTCGGTGACCCACGGCAGCATGTGCTGAAAACGGATCTTCGGCAAGTCGTCTGCACCGCCTGACTTGCTCCTGTCCTCCTCCTCCGAAGGATGCAAAAGGAGAATCCAGTACTGCGACACGTGCGACGTCGGAGCCACCAGGTTGCTGGACGTAAGGTTGAGCAGCCTCGAGGGCCTGAGGTAGCAGCGGACGCCGATCATGATCGCGAGCCCCATGGCCACCATCCTGCGCCTCGCGAACTCCACGGCGATGGCGCGCCACCACGCGCGAGGCATCCTGCTGACTCCCGCGCGAAGGAACTCTGGAGAGCGAGCCATCGCCGATCGTTCCATCTCGTCGGCCGTAGTAGTGCCATCGCTGTCCTCGTCGGCGGCCGCGGCGGTGGCAGCGGCCGTGACAGCTGCTGTAGCCTGTGCGAGCTCCTCGTCGACTAGGGTCTCCAGGCAACCCGTCGAGAGGAGAGACTCGCTGGACTCCAGCATGGAGCGTATCTGCGGTCGGCAGAGAATCCTGTGTTTCGTCGGCCTCGAGAACGCGGCAGGCGGACGCGAAGTCGAGCCCGGGCTCGCTCTCAGGGTAGTTCGTCGGCTCTCCTCCCTCGCGGGCGTGCGGTTCGACGCCTCCAGGTTGTGGGTCCGCTTCATTGCAGTCGTGAAACAGATCGTAAGAAGAGGGGTCGGGCGAAGCCCGAGGCGTGAGCGCTTGAGCCGGTGCGCCCTCGGGTAGAGGTCGATCCGCAGGCTGAGGCAGGACGTCGTCGGGTCCGTGTCCGTCAGCCACCAGGCGGGTGAGATCCTGCGTGGCGTCGTAGTTGGGATCATAGATACGGGGCCCCGCGTCGCTACTGTTCAGCTCAGAAGGGTGCCACCTGAAGCCACATCGAACTCCCCGGGCCAGCGCGTAGGCCGCAATACGTCGAATCTGTACCAGAAGCCCGAAGCTGCGTGCCCGAAGCCTCTCACCAGCAAGAATGACTGACGCGTTATCTCCCAATAACAATACTCTGCAAAAACCACCAGGAACACAGTTACAAACTCTTGCGACAGTTTTGACCAGGACGCGGGCCTCGAGAATCAGGATATCCTCGGAGTAGGCCCACTTGCCATGCAAAATCAGACGCCACCGATCCCCGTGAAGGAGGCCCCCGGGGATCTCAGGGAAATCCTCGCGCATCTCCCAGATCCCGGCCTCCTGAACGTCCGAGGGGCCCCGTTCCTTCCCGTCGTCGACCTCCCAGCGATCGGCGGCTGAGTGTGCGAAGCCAGCCGCAGCAAGGGCGCTAGCGCGAGCAGGTAACCCTCCGAGACGACGGAACCGAGAGCGCTCCAGTATTCTTCCTTGTTTTTTGGCAGCCGACGCCCCGAACTCGGAGCTAGCGATCCCCCAGCCGCACAGGCTGGCGTCCACCGAAAGTACCTGCGGGAGCCACGGCCGATCCCACTCAGAACGCAGGAGCGGCATCAGCCCAAGGAAGCACTCGAGCTCGTGGCGCGCGGAGTCCCACACGTCGCTCTTGGCCCAGTACCGCTCGCGGACGAAGGTGTGCACGGTGTGCCACGCGGACAGCGTCTCCCGGCACATGAGGCCGACGAACGTGCAGTGGCCGAGCAGAACCTCGAGCTCCCTCCCTGCCAGACGGCGCAGGGGGAGGGCCCGCCGGAGCCCAAGTCGAACCTTCCAGTAGCGGCGATGAGTGACGAGGGTCTGGTGCTTCTGGCCATCCAGAGTCATACCTAGCGCCTCAGCGGTCTCGCAGTCTACTGAGATGTCATCCATGATGGGGCCCGCGGCATCAATGGCCTTGGTGGTGTCCGCGAGCGCCCCCTCGACGTAGGCGGCATCCAACGAGAGGAGCCCCACGTTGTCTACATAGACGTAGTGCCAAGAAGAGGAGGGCGCCAGCACGATGGGGGGCCCGCGGTCGGTTGCCACGCGGCTCGACGCGACGGCGGGCAACTTGGGCAAAGTATAGTGACCACGTCCAGCCCATGGGGAGGGCAAGGGCGCAAGGCCAGAGGTAGTCCTCCGCCCGCGCCGGCGCCCCGTCCACGGTCTGGCCGACGATGCCAAACTCCTTGGCCCCCCCCCCCGGTAGCAGAAGTACTTGGACAGGTGACTGCCGAACAGCACGCGGTGGAAACAATCCTTCACGTCAGCTTTGCCCAAAAAGATGGGCAACGCGTCGGCCTGTTCCGCCTCGCACTCGATCCGCCCAAGACCTTCAGTTGACAGTGGCTCCACGCCAGGCGGGGTAACAAATCGCTGATTCGAGCGGCGACAGTCGAGCGCCATCCTCATGGAGGCACGCTCCTTCTTCCATACACAGAACACACCCGCGAACTCCTTGGGTTCGCGAATGAAGCCCACCAGCCCCTTGCGCCTCAAGTCCTTCACGAACGTGGAATAGCGCCGCCGGCTGTTGGCGAGCAGCGGGTCGGTGTAAATCTTGATTTCGCCATTTTTCTCACGGTCAAGCTGGGCCTCAGCATCGGCCCTGATCATCTGCTCCTCTGCCTCTACCAGGTACTCGAAGGCGCGCCCCGTGACCAATGATCCCACGGCCGGGGCCGACGAGACGTCACTGGGGAGAGATGCCGCGCCCCGTTGGTAGGGTGCCAGGGTAGTGTAGGCCGTCTCGGTGTCGTAGACGCCGCGGCCTCGAAGTAGCCCCTGGAAGGCCTCCTTCGGTGTAAGGTCGGAGGGGGGATCTGAGTAGGTCTGGGCCCCCTGGGCGATTCGCTCCAGTACCTCCCGTTGAAGTTGACGTCGGTATGGATGAACGTCGCGATGAGCACGAACTCCCAGTTCGCGATGTCCAGCACCCCACAACCAATTAAGCGAGCGCGCGCACTGCCGCCAGTCCCTCACGAACCGGCGCTGGGCGCGCCCCTGAAGGTGGATCCAGATGTCCTCGGCGAAGGAAGGGTCGTCGGGCAACGGGGGCATCTCCGCGGATCCATGCGCAGGCCCAGGAAGGCGAACGGCAGCAGGGGGGCCAGTCCCACCGCCGAGGGTCATATCTCTCATTGGGTCTCCGCCGCGGCGGCGGCGCCCTTACCTCCCTTCGGGGCTCCGCGGCCCTGTCCTTTCGGAGGTTGGCCAGCCGCGGCGGCGACAGGGGAACTGCGTCTAGCGGCAGGGCAGACCACCAGCAGCGACGGCGTCGGCAGCCGCTGGCAAGTTGCGGCCACGAGCACGCATGGACTCGACCTCAGCCTCGTCCTTGGCCCTCTTGGCGACGTAGTGCTTGAGCTCGGGCGAGAGCATGTCGACGGCCGAGCCGACGCCGGAGTACAGCCTCGCATTGGCCCGCTGAGGCCGAGAGGGATCTACCGAGTATGCGTCGACGATGCTCTGGATGCGGCGGGCGATGACTTCGAAGCTCACCAACGACGGCATGTTGAGCTGGTCGTAGGTGCCCCCGACGTATATCACCTCGCAGAGAACGGACAGCTCGTGATGCACGCGCTCGCCGGGCCCGATGTTCTTCGAGCGGGCCCGGATGTCGAGCCACATCCTGATGTTGCCCCCGTGGCGGTCGGAGTGCCTGAGAATGTGCATGAGGCTGGTCGGCCCCTCGATCGGGCTGTCGGCCCACACGGTGGGGTAGCTCTCGATCACCACATTGCGCCACGATTTGAATCGGATGCCCTGAGCGTCGGTGTCCACCCAGATAGTGCGGACGTCGCCCGGCTCCTCGGGCGCCTCGGCAGCCGCTGGGACCGGCGTCGCCGTGCCGCGCTCCTCGGTCGGCACGATGCCGACGCGGCGACCGAAGTCGGTGGGCACACCACTGGCATCACGAATCGCGAGCTCGAAAGCAGAGGCCTTCGTTGCTGCGTAGTCCCCGACCTCCTCCTCGGGCACGAGCTGAACCGGGACCGCATTCCCGTTGATGTCAGCCACGCCGCGATCGTCCAGCCTCGTCCTCACCCGTCCGTGCGCCACCGGTGTGCCCAGCTCCCAGACGAGGCCGGGCTCGCTGATGACCCAACGATTCGCCTGACCGCCGTCGACCATGGCCCCGTCCTTCTGGTCCGCCGAGCTACCTGGGCCAGCCGCCAGCGGCGGCGGCGCGCCCGCGCCCCCGTCGGCGGCCGCCGCATCGCCCAGCGGGGCAGCACGGCCGACCTGCTTGCCCTGCAGGCGGTGGCGTACGAGCGGGCAGCACCGACCGTCCTCCGACAAAAAGTAGAAAGGGGTCCGGCGGCACGACACGATCGGGCTCGGCCCGCCGCAGCGCCGTCACCTCCGAGCGCGCCTCCACGATGAGACCCCTCAGCTCGTCATCCGTCGGGAACCTCGCGAACTGCACCACCTTGGCCCCATCGTCTGGCAACGACCTGGGCGGCTGACCAGCCGTCATGAGGTACACCTTCGACCAATCCTTCTCCTCCTCTACATACAGATCGCCGCCCCCGGTGTACACGACCCACGAGTCCTCGTGGCACGGCCAGCTCGTGTCTGAAGCCAGGATCAGTGACGAACGACACGAGCAGCTGCGTCCCCGGCACCCAATCGGGCTCCATTGTGAATCACACGCCGCTGAGGGAGCTCGGTCTGGCCGCCTCGACGACAACAGCACAGCACGAGGATGATCTCGAAGAGGCCGAACCCGAAACAGCTCACAAGCGCGACGTCCCCCGAGTCGGCGAGCCCGACGGCCCCAGCCAGAACGCGTCGCGCGCCACGGCAAGGCCCGGCGCCGGAGGCGCTGGCGGCCTCGAAGGCGGGGGCGGCGGAGGCGGCTCGGGGGCCGCCGTCGAGGGACAGGTACACGAACAGGAGCAGTCCCACAGCGGAGGCTCCCAGCACCACTCGGCGGGCCCCGCGAGGCTGGGGCCGCCGGCGCGCCGCGCCCGGCAGCGCTGCCAGCCAGCCAGCCAGAGAGCGAGGGGGCTATCACGGCGATCCAGGCAAGCAGAGCAGCCTGGGATGGCGTGATGGCCATCGAGCAAGAACCCCTGCCTTTTGATGCTTGAGCCCAACTGGTTGCGGAGAGCAACACGTGGGAATCAAGCCTGGACACGACACCCAAAAAAACCTTTCACATCATTCCCGTGCACGCACGAACAAAAATGCACCTCGCGGCTTAATCTCGATCATGCGCGGCCACCCCGCGATCATTGTCAAGTGGTTTTTGACAGGGACGGCGGGGGTGGTGGCGTATGGCCTGCTGTGCACAGGCCCACCAGACAAAATGATGGGCATTGGTTTTCGACAAGGACGGATGGTGGGGGTCGACATCTTTCCTGATGTGTGCTGTCACGTGGCAGGCACACCTGACACACTCTGCACGTGCCCCAAACGTGGCGGACCTGGCGCGGCTGGAGTACGCGGCACACCTGGCGCACGCGGAGCGCGTGGCGCATCTGGCGCACCAGGCGTGCCTGGCACGCTCGGGCCCCAGGGGTGCCCGGCGCGCAAAGCGCGCCTGGCACGCGTGGCGCACCTCGCCCCAGCGCCGCGCACACGGGGTCGGTTGTTGTTCCCAGTAGCTGTCCATCCAAAGACGACCGCTGAACATACTCAGGCTCGAGTGTTATGTACTGGTGTGTTGGGAGGGCGGGTGGGAGTGAGCTAGACGGCTTGCCATCTAGGAGGGTATCTTGATCCCTCCCTCTACTCCCTCCCCCTGGGTTTGGAGGGGTGGGCGCGAGCAGCTAGAGCGTCCAAAATGGCCTCGGCGAGGAAGCCAACATCACTGATTTTGCTAAGGTTTTGGCCACATCGTAGCCTCCTGGGGGGGCAACGCTGATTTTTCTACGGTCCGTCCTTGTGTGGATCTCCTCCGAAGATGGCTCCAAGATGCCCCCCGAGGTCCCAGGAGTGCTCCACGACGGCCCCAAGAGGTGCTCAGGAGGCCCCAAGAGGACCCGAAGAGGCCCCCCAAGATGCCCCCAAGAGGCTCCCAAGAGACCCCCAAGAGGCCCCGAGAGGTTTCCAAGAGGCACCCAATGCGCTCCAAGGGACCCCCAGTACCGCCAAGAGACACCCAAGACGCTTCAAAAGGCCTTCAAGAGACTCTCGGAAGACATCCGAAGAGACTCCGAGAGGCATCCAAGATGCCTCTGGCCATTCTGCTCGCCCTCATCCTCCTCCTCTTCTTCCTCATCCGCCTATTCCTCCTTCTTCCTCCTCCCTCTTCCTCCTCCCCCTCACCCAACTGCTCCTCCTGCTCCTATTTCGATTTCTGCTCTATTCTCCTCCTCTTGAGGGATGACGTCTTAACCAGTCTTTTTGTCCACTGCGTGCTCCTCCATACCCCTGATGAAGGCAACTCGTTTGGGCATCGCTCTTGGGTGGGCCAGCGGGGTTACGCGAAGCGTCTAGAATTCCCAGGGCCCCCCAAGCGGCGAACGCTGCCCGTCACGCCCCCGCATGATTCTCGCTTTGTCTGCGCGGCGAGAAGGTATCTGCGCTGCCCGGACCTCTGCTGTCCCCTCCCCATGAAAGTGGGGCTCGAAATGTGGGCCTCCTCGCACGCCGCAGCCGGGCTGGCGTCCACGCAGGGCCGTGACGCGGCGCTGGCTGCAGCTGCGCCGCCGCCGTTTGAGGCCGCGCCGCCGCCGTCTGCGGCCGCGCCGCCGCCGTCTGCGGCCGCGCCGCCGCCGTCTGCGGCCGCGCCGCCGTCTGCGGCCGCCGCGCCGCCGTCTGCGGCCGCCGCGCTGCCGCCTGCGGCCGCGCTGACGCCGCCTGCGGCCGCAGCGCCACCTCCGGCGGCCTGCTCCCCTGGGGCGGCGGGGTGCAGGGCGGCGGCGGGGCCTGCCAGCGCGGGCGCACCCGCCCGGCCGCTGGCGGCGCTCGCCGCCCCGAGCGTGCGCTCCAGGCGCTGCCTGCCGGCCTCCGACTCGAGCAGCCACTGGCGGTGCTCCAGCGCCGCGGCGCCAGCCGCAGCGCGGGGGCCTCTGGCGCTCGGCGGCCTCGGGAGCTCGGGCCCCCGGCCGCGGCGGGCTGCCGCGAAGCCGCCGCGCGCACCGTGGCGGCCCCCGGCGCCCGCGGCAGCGCAGGCCGCGAGCGCCGCGCCAGCGGCCAGTGGTCTCCTTGCGTCCGCCGTGCACCCGCCGCTGCCCGTCGCCGTGCGGCCGTGAAGCGGCGGTGGGCGGCTCTGGCTC